TCGCTGCCCCAAAGCAATGGAATGATATTCCCTTAGACATTAAATTAAGTGGATCAGCTGATGTTTTTAAATCTAGATTGAAAACTTCTCTTTTCCGACTCGCTTTCATTTGACTTTTTGTTTTAGTGTTATTGTTTGTTAGTTATTTTCTTTTTTGATTGTAAAGCGATATAGAGCTTTTGTATATACCGCTATACAAATAAAGTTATTATTATTATTATTATTATTATTACAGTCCAGTCTTGAAATCGACTCACAGCTCCTGGGTCTCCGAGGATGGTTTAAACCATGATCACTGATGTAAAACGGGGAAACTAGGGGGAAGATCTTACCCAAAAAAAAAAGAATTAAAATTATTTTTGAATGTCAGGGGGAAAAACCGGAGTAACCTGTCAGACTAAGCCAAAGACACCAAGGGTCTCGATTCTCACAGAGCTCCTTCTTTAATGTACCACTACTATCCTGCTACAATTTTTACAAAAGTTTCTTATTCAATAACCAAAAAGTTACATGCTTAAATGCTCGCTTGTTTCTATATTCTAAGCTTGAAAGTTAACACCACACCTGTGCTCTATCCAAGACGGATAAGGCACATAAGACAGTGTGCCAAACAAACTAAAGGACTGAAGGCACGAAATCAAAGATGTCTCCACAATCAGAAAACACTCAAAACTGAGTGAAAATAAAAAAATAATAAACTTGAGCACAGATTTACAGGAATCTTAAGACATCATTCATAAGATGAAACTTATTTTGAAGCTGCATTTTCTTATGATTAAAAACTCGGGTAAGTTATATTTCTGATACTGAAGTTAGAACTTGATCTGTGTTTATATTGGTGCAAACTGTAATTTCAACGACGCTTCCATTTGGCCAATTTCAATTTGGAGTTTATCCCTGAGCTCCATAAAGGAACGTTCCTGCAGCCCTTCAGCACTTTGTCCATCGGATTTGACAAGGACTGAAAATATAGCTTCATGCAAGTTGTAGCCAATAACCTTGCAAAAGATTTCATGAAAATATTGCATAAACACAACGGAGGGAAAGGGAAAGTTTTTAACCTATCGAAATAACTGCAGCTGTCTTTGTACTCGAAATATTTAGGGGACATTAAATAACAAAGAGGTTATAGCGAGAAAACTACTAATGTCGAATTAGTGATTTTGAACAGAGGCAGTGATATGATAAGAACAATAAAAAAAGGCAAATGGACCATCATGTGTGAGTGCATCAGACTGTGAAATTCCTCAAACTGTCGCAACTGCAGTGCATTTTGGTCTTCTGACGAGCAACAAAATTATACGTGGATCACTGAAAACAATGACTGGTGCTGATAAAGAAACAAAAGCAAACTCAGTTTCACATCCGATTTGATTTTTAAGCAATGTAATCATTTATAAAATAGAAATACAAATTCAATTGAACAGATGGGCAATGAAAGCCCCTGGTCATTATTTTTTACTTTGATATTTCACTTGCTCTTTGTATCATTCACCATTGTTCTGATGAGCCAGGAAAAAGCTAAATCACATATCAGCTTAGCAGTATGCGGAAAACAGTAAGTAAATTGTCCTATCAAATTTTTCCTTCAACTTAGTGATAGAGCACCTGACTTATGATGTGGTTCTCGTCGATTATTAGGTGGCAAATTTTAGTTATGACAGGTTACGTGAGAGTGCTGGACAGGGTTACGAACTTAACGAAGTAATGGAGCGTAGTTACCTTGAAATATCGGTGGTTCTTTCGTGTGGCGGTTAGGATCCGTGGGTAAATGTTACGTAGGCGTCCTATCCCTGGAGCAGCTCTGCTTTTCAGCAAAAAAAAGAGAAATATGTTATTTCCACAGAAAACAAACAACCAAATCCCTTTTTTCTCGATACGTTAAAGCAAAGACGGCATTAAAAGCACAATGAACTTTCCCCAAGATGTATATTCACCATGAACGGACATCGCGTAACTAACTGCATGGGCAGAAATTTAGGATAGTCAGCGGGTCGTGACTACTAAGTCTGCGCAGCTTGGTTGTGAAGCAGTCGGAAAGCTATCAGTGAGCGAAATGCCAACAATTTTAATTTAAGAGATCCTCGCAGCTAAGAACACTACTGAACTAGTAGTTGAAAATAGGACCCGAAAAAATTCAGGCCCGTACGGGATTTGAACCCATGACCTCTGCGATACCGGTGCAGTGCTATAACAACTGAGCTAACAAGTCAACTGGGAGCTAGTCAATATGTTGGGTCCAAATAAACCATCCAAGTGATGAATGGTTATTATTTTACCATCACTCACTCATTCCGATAAGAGGCATCAGCCAAAAAAATTAAGTCTGCGTGACATAGGCGGAGTAGTGCACTAGCGTTACGTAAAAAGACGCATTCTCTACGGACGACAACTTGACAGACATCACATTCTCTCTCTCGTCCTTTTCCAGTAAGACAAACCAAACCAATCCTGCTGGGGGAATATGCTATATTACTATATTGTAGTATATACTACAAAATTTACAGGGATTTCATCGCTGCATCGCCCAAAAAGCATAAATTGAATTCTCGCGGCTTTTATTAGAAATGTTTTCTGGTGAGAGGTCACTGAACGAAATAACACGCAACAACGGAAAAGAAAAAAAAAACAACAATTCAGTTCCGTAGTTTAACATGGGTAAGCAGCTAGGAATCACAAAATTTTTATCATTGTGCTTGTAAAAGCTTTTTTTATCATTTGATCGTTCAGTGCGTTTAAGGGCGGGCTTTCTGCAATCATTGCACAACTTCAAAAGTGTTTTGCCAAGCTTTAAATTGCGAACAAGACGAAACCCACAAGGCTAAAGCTGTCATTGCTGCCTGGACTTGTTTCCCTCTAAAAATTACGCGGGGTTCTTTGATGATCTGCAGACTTTGATGCGCATCCAGAACCACTCTCTGTCTCCTTAAGGAAGCCAAGATCTCTCTTTTCTTGAACTTCACGACCACATTTCTCGGGCAAATTTGTTAAAAAACAAGTCAAAAATTTTCCAGTGCTGGGTACTGCCGATCTTTCTTGAGCCTGCTGATCGATAAACAAGGCTGAGCACCGCAATAGTCCCCTTCATGTAATGAGTGCTGAAAAACGTGACATGTACCCTTCCATTCCAACCCCCCCTCCCTTCTCGGAAAAAAAATTGTAGCTATGCTCAAGGGATTACAATAAAGATTTATAATCTCCTTTTTACGTCCTAAGCAGAAATGCACAGAAAAAGAAACGAGGATGGTTGCAGATGAACACTGATTGAAACCAATCGAACTTGGAAAATTGAGACAAACCAAATGTTGCACGGGAACCTAAATCTTGATTAATATCGTCTTTACTTGAAAATCACCAAAGTTAGAATTTACCATCTTCATTTACCTACATCTTAATTGCGTAAAGGCATCACATATCGAAACTCCTCTCCTGGCTCATTCTCTTATTTATCTTGGCTCTCTTTTGTCCAAATGGCAGATCTTGCACCAAATGGGGGCTTGTTATATAAGATAAGAAGTGATCCAGTTGTCTTGGGTCGACTCTTATCTTTGATGAAGGCTGGGGGATCACTGAAGCGCCGCTTCCGTGCTGAAGACGATGCAGATTAGCTATGGTAAAACGATATCTACTTAAGCCAGGTATGAATCTCGAGATATCATTATAATTGGAAACACCACACATCATCGAATTTGCCGTCTTGTGTCCCACCCATGGGCTTTGTCATATGCCTCAGCTAAGACCTGGAGATAGCATTTGGATGTTTCGGAGAGTTCGTCCAGCCCGAGTGCTTCGTTCATGGCAGGATAAGAGACGACTGCTTGCCAAAGAGATGTTAGGTCGTGGGTGTTAGGTCGTGGAGGACAGAAGAAAAAATCTCTGCGGTTCGTCTAGTATACCGAAGCTTAGTGCTGTCACTGGCATTTTTCCCACTCAACCCAAGGTTGAGAGACAGGTTCAATGTTTTTGGACACCAGATATTCGTTCAACTTTTCACGGAAATTTGGCTTTGAGGTGATGCTCTCTTCACTCGTTGAGGAGACGAGGCTTGCAGTATCAGGACTGAGAAACGTCTCGTCATCCCTCAACCCCTGGGATGATATTTCCAGAAACATCAAGTCCGTCTCTAGACCATCAGAAGATGACTCACTGCCAGCAATTGATTCCTCTCCTGGACGGTCTGTTTCCATCTCATGAACCAACGAAAAGGTTTGCTCTATAAGTTTTCAGGAATGATTAGATTGGCGTTTATTTACACAACACACATCATTTTGCTCGCTCTGGACACAAACATTTGTAGTATTTTCGAAGGGAGGCGGTCCGATTCAAAGCATTAAATTTTACTCAGGAAATAAATAGTATCATTATATTACGAATATCAAGTTAAAAATTTAAAAAAGAGGTACCAGGTACAATTTTATCGCGTTAAATTTCACCTATTTTTTTGCTCTCATATTAAGCGCTCTTTGAGGGTATTGCTAAGAAGACTTAAAAATTCTCAGTATCAATGTGTACAGAAAAATTAACATAATGAAAATCGACGGGAAGGCTTTTTCTTATATCGTGTGAAGTTTGGTGTTAATTGAATTCATTTCAAGCCTTCAACGGAGCTTGGTTTTTGCAGTGAATTTTGGACAATCTGATAGGCAGAAAACCGCACTTAAACCGCGTTTTCAAATTTTCGCCAATTTCTAAAAATTTAATAATCGTCGTAACTTTTAAATTTGATTTTTGAAAATAGTTTGCCGAAGGGCATCGTTGGGCAAAATATGAGCAATACACCAAAATGGTCGTTGACGGACGATTCTCGATCCTAACAGGCAGCCATTCTTTGAAACAGGTTTTCTATGTATCCTTTGTATCCAAGAGAGTGAGGGATGAGGGGGGGACGTTTGTTTGATATTATGTTCTTAGGGAGGGGCGTTTATTCGGGGGAGGGCGCTTACTGTAGCGTGGGCGCTTATTCAAGGAAACGCGGTGTGCAAAATATGACAAAAAGGTCGCGCTATATTTCCACGACATTTATTCCTAACTTTAATACTCGGTGCAAATAATTTACAGTATTATACAAGTTAAGTGCAATATTCAACACAGAAGGAACACTTTTCAGTTTACTTGATTCCGATTACAATTCATATGATTCAAATAAAACTTCCAACATCCTAAAAGTTTAAAAGTTTAATGATGATTAAAAGTAAATTTGATATTTCCTATTCTTTTACTATTCCCGGAATTTTCTTCCTTGGAAAGAAATGTAAAAACTAAAGTTCCCTTCACTAATTGTTTCTCCTTTTTCAGTTTGAGACTGGTTCCCGATCTAAACTCGAAATCATAACAAGGGAAGATTTAAGATTATTTGAGAGGACTTTTCAGTGAAATGAAAAGAAAAAAAATTAAAAGAAATATAATTTGATTGCATTTTGATTTCGATATTGCATATACTTTTCATGCTCTAACTAGCCCCATAGCTTTGATCCCATGAAAAGAACGTTTAGTCTTTCATGAGGTAAGTCACGCGTCATTAATGTTTTGTCTGAGGCGTGACAAGCGAAGGTCACGCAAGGACAACTGAGATTTAACAATCATATTCAATTTGATATCAACTCTAGAGCGGCCTACACGAAAAACTGGGAGCCTTGAGACAAATTCGTCATACTAAGAATCAAATTTAGAAGTAAAGAACAAATGACAAGTCTCAGAAGTTAAGCTTAAGGACCATACCTAACTAGAGTAAATTTTTATAGTCTGCAATCAGGCCCTCATCATGAGCGCTGCAGGACGCGTGTTTCTCTGCCCGCGGGAGAAAATTTGAGGCAAGTCGAGAAGACGACTGCCGAGGGTCTGGAACTAATAATCAGCCTCATTACCAGTGCCAGACCCAAGGTCTCATACTTTCCCATGGGCAAAGGAAGGCTGGTGCCGAGGCGATCATTATGAGGGCATGAAACAGGTAAATCAAGTTGGAATAACTAAGTTACACCTCACAAAAGGAGCTTTGTGATCACATTTAACGATAAAAAAACTTCAAAAGAAGAGAAATACAAAATAATAATCTACTGAGAAGGAAAAATGGCAAAATGGATAAAACAAACCTAAAAGATACAAGGCTGGCTTAAGATGGAGAACATTGACAGGACTGGGATTGACGAACGCGGAAAGTTTACTTTGTAGTGCGAAAATCCAGCAGGAGTTTTGGTCAGCGGAGCAACTTCATGCTGATTCGAAATGAATGAAATTTCTACCGGAAAGTTTTTTAACGTTTTTCTTTTCAGGCTCAGAATATCAACGAAAAAGGGAGCGAGATGCAGAGTAGATGATTCGTTGATGAAGATTTCGAGTGAAAATCGAACACGGAGTGCAATTTAACCAATATGCAGAGATTTTTATGACTTAAAGGAAGTAATTTTTCTGGCGTCTCATTTTTACAGCTCATTATTTTTCTTAGAACTTTTTTTAGCGGATCAAGGATAAACCCAAAATCCGCAAAAATCAAAACCCAGCCAAATTTCCAAGTTTCATAATTGATAATGACTCCTAAGCATCAGTCACACAATGCGTGAGTTACGATAGCGTTGCGTGACGAGGAGACGTAACGCGACGTTAAATTTTTTAAGATGCACACTAGGCAAAATGGTTTTCTTTAAGTCTATAAATTAGTGCTGTGTACCAAAGTAAGGATTTACAAACGAGAATCCTCGGAATTGTCCCTGGTCCATTGACTGCAGTAGATCTTTGTCTGTTGGGGTAAACCGTGGTGCTTCCATGGTGAAATCGGGATCAAAATTGTTCGTATCGTGATCTGAACCCTGTAGGGTTTGAACAGGGACACGATTGTTAGCAATGTTAGAGAGGACTTATGAATATATCTTTCACTCAGGGAAAGATCACTTTCATGGGAGGAGTATCTTTCCTGTTACAATATTCTCGTTTCCAGTCCACTGTACAACCCTTGTTCGGCCCTGTCAGAAAACACTCTCTATTCTCCTTCAACGACTACTTTTACGGTCGTGTTGGTCCAGAAATATTTTCGCCTTGCTCTATGGTCTTTGTCCAGAGCTCAGTGTGCCCTTGACATCTTAAGTTATCTTTTCCATTTTTTTCGATTTCTCCAATTTCCTCTCACCACCTCGGAAATTATGTTTCATTTAGTTCTTTGGTCTGCTTTTTTGTTCGTAGTTCCTTCAACGGGAATGTTGTAATGTGTTTTCGCAATTGGTTACACTCACCTCTACAACCTCTCCTAATGTATTATTTCTTGCACGCGTTTTATCATTTCTTTGACAGTAGGGAGATATAACCCCTCGACTTCCCTACCCCCCCTCCACCAACAGCACTCGGCCTGGGACTGGTCAAGAGAATTAAGATGCCCACTTACCACATTAGGTTTGAAGGGCGGTGCCACTCTCCTGTCTTCAAGCTTAACCCAGTCAATGCGTTCAAAAAACTTGTGATTTCGGATGGCCGGGTTGGTTCCATTTCTGTAGCCAAGTCTCTCCATCGGGGTCCTTTCAAAGAGCTAAAGGAAAAACAAAATGCGACTTAGCTTTTGAGCCATTAGAGTGACTAACATCTAATTTCTCTTTGCTGTGTTATGACTGAATCAAACATTACGGCCATGAGAATGAAAAAACATGATCAGCACCAAATTTAGGAGTTCTAGCTCGTTCAACAAATTCTCCTTGTCATTACCAGATGTGCACAGAGAACAGCACAGAAAATATGCATACGGATGATAGAGCACAACGGGTTGAACCAAGATCAAAAAATTGAGCCGAGAGTTTGTATCATTTTTCTGCTTTTTCGGTAAACTGTACCCACCTGGCTCAAGCAATCTTCTGCAGGTTGTGAGATCCACTTTGGATAATGAACCTTATCACGGCAGATGGAGTCAAACAAATCTTCCTCGTCTTCACCAGCGAACGGAGACTGTTAAGAAAACGAAAACATGATATCAAGTATGCCTATGCCTGGAATTTTTAACACCTCTAGACTGTCGAGAAGAGGGAACTTCCTTGAACAAAATATGACAACATATAGGTGAAAAAATAATGGTAACGGTTATAGAACGGACTGTATTCCAATTCAGTTTGATTAGTGCAGACATATCGTAAAAGCAAAACCAAAGTAAATCCGAAGAAAAGAAAAATGCCCTAAAGAGCCGATAAAAACTCAAAGAAAAACCAACCAACTGCATAAAGCGCGGGAAAACGTGGGTGACCAAGATGTGATTGGGTTTAGTTTTTTATCTGATTGGTTGAGAGAGTGGCGTGACTTTTCTACAGCAATCTGAGCGAAGTAAAGCAGAACCAAAGCAATTCCGTCTTATTTGTGACACTAAATTGCTCTAATAAATGGTATTTTTTAGTAACGTTGGAGATTCTGAAGGAAATTTAAAATATATTTAACGTGTAACACGCACCTGACCAATCAGCATCTCGTATAAAAGAACACCAAAAGACCACCAATCAGCTGCCGAGTCGTAACGCCATCCCTTCAGTATCTGCAACAAACGAGGTGAGTGAAACATTAGAAAAGTTTTTAATTGAGTATTGAAAGAAATCTGGAATTGTAATAATTTTCTTTTACTTTGTTATGTGATTGGTCCATAAAAATTCGCGCCTCCCTCTTCACCGGCCAGATGCAAAACTAACACCAAACACGTCGAAGGAACCCGCGTTTTCCCGCGCTCTGTTCTTGTCATTGGCCGTCTACAATTATGTCTCTTTCTCTCACTCGATACTTAACTTAACGTGTGCTTTCCTCTTTCGCTAAGGTCGGTTAATTATCGCAAAAAGGAATCACAACGGCCAATAAGAACGAGGTAATTGTCATAAGAGAAAATACTTATAACCATCCTGAAGCGCGGGAAAACGCGGGTGACCAAGTCGCGAATAGTTTTCATTTGCATCTGATTGGTTGAGAAGATGGCACGAGTTTACTCAACCAATCACAGGGCGAAGCATGATCAAAGCAATCTATTTTCGGCTTCGACAAACGTCCAATGGCAAGCAACAAAGAACACAAAACACAGACAAATAGAAATAAAAATTTCAAACCGACCTCGGGTGCAATGTAATCTGGCGTTCCACAGAATGTTGTCGCCTTCTTAGATTCGGAAATTCCTTCCTTGCACATACCGAAGTCTGCTAATTTGATGTGACCATCTGCATCCAGCAGAACATTGTCGAGTTTTAGATCTCTATAAATGACAAGAAAAAGAAGAATCGTGCATGAGTTAAGGGCTGGGGGTATCTCATTTAGAAACAAGCTTTTTAGACGGCAATTTTCAAAAGGAACAAATGTACAACAAAGTGCATCCCATTTGAATGTCCTTTGTTTACGAGCAAATAACATATTAAGTATTTTACTGCGCAAGACACGAAACTGGTTCAGAGTTAAAAGTCTACAATTTAAAGTGTTGGAAGTTCAAATTGAGTTTTTATGGAAAGTGACGGTTGTAAACTGCAATTAATCAACTAATCACTAACATTACGACTCAGTAAAGGGGAAATGTTACAAATGATACTTATATCTGCAATGAAATTGGTACCTGTAAACGATTCCTCGACCATGTAAGAATTCCAAGCCACACACAATTTCAGCAGCATAGAACCTACGTATCAGTAAAATAACAAAAAAGAAAAACATCAGTGACCGTGTTCTACAAGTAAACGGCCCGAAGGGAGGGAATATAAACGACCACGACATCATTGTGACATTTTTTTTCCCATTTGATTGAACGAGAAGGTTTCGAGTCTTTGGACCAATCGCAGCGTGAAGAATAGCAAAACTAACGAGATCTCGGGTCAAAGCGCTTTACGGCAGAGTGTTGTAAAACAAGCAACCTGCTTGAAGCGCGGGAAAATGCAGGCAACCAAGTTGGGATTGGTTTAGTTTAGCAATTGATTGGTTGGGATGGTGGCGCGAGTTTTCCGGACCAATCACAAAGCGAGGCAATTGAACATTGTTCTATAATCCAAACATGTCTGTGATTACGTACCTGGATCTTGTCTCATCAAACTTGCCGACAGTTTGTATATGGAACATCAAGTCACCACCTCCGAGGTACTCCATGACGAAAAATAAGTGATCCTGAAAGCGGCAAGTTTCATCCTTAAGTTGGGCTAATAAACACTTAAAACTTAAGAAGGGAAAATATCACAAGTAGCCAAAGGTAGCCTTAAGTTAAAACAAACCAACTGCTTGAAGCGCGGGTGACCATGGAGCGAACAGTTTTGGCGTTGCAACTGATTTGGTTCGGGAGGGGCGAGTTATCAAGACCAATCACTGAGCATTTTAGAGAACTCTTCATTCAAGAATTGTAAGTAACACGGGATTGCATCAAATTTGTTTTTTTTTTGCTTTATGATTGGTCCAGAAAACTCGCGCTACCCTCACAACCAATCAGAGGCAAACTAGTACCACCTGCGTCTTGGCAATCCGTGTTTCCCGCGCTTTAGGTAGTTTGGTTGGTTTTGTTTCGAGTTCTCATTGGCTCTTCTTGATATCTTCCTTCGTTCTGATTGGCCCGTTTATGATTATTTTGGTTTTGGTTTAACGAAGTGCACTCGAGGGCACATTGGAATACCAGCTTAAATTTAACTAAGAGTTGAAAACTGTTCGACAACTCATCATACCTGAGACTGAAACGCAGAATGAAGATGAGTCAAAAAAGGATGTCTCGTCGCCAACGCCAGAATTCTTCTTTCCACCATGGTGCATTCAACATCATCATCTTCTAAAACCACATCTTTTTTCAGTGCTTTAATTGCAAATGCTTGTTTCGTTTCTTTCAGCTCACAGAGTAGCACCTAAAGGGAAAAAGTATAAACTTACTTTGATATCCGCACTTAACTCTCTTTAAGTTTCAAAACACGGTACATTTCCTAAAATCCGCATAAAAGCAGATTGATGTCTTAAACCCTTTTAGCCCCTAAAAGAGACAAGCGTCGAATCTTTCTATTCACAATATTACCCCTGAATCACACATTAAAGTCACAAGTAATAATCACCGACTAAAGAAGTTCTTGATTGATACACAAATTCTCCTTGTCAGGGCCCTTGGAAATATATGGAAAACAGTATATTGAACATGCATTTTTATGTTAGGGCGTAAAGGGTTAATTGCTAAAGTTAGTTTTGTTTCGGAGTATGAAGAGAAAAATTACAATATCTTTCAGTACATCTAACACTTCATTTTCCTTCGGTTTGTGACTGTCACATATCTTCAACTCCAATAACTACGATTTTGTGACTTTCACTCGAGATCGCTTCAAAAGCGTTCCAATTTACGTCTCATTTTACCTTGCCAAAGCTCCCTTTTCCCAGAACTTTAAGCAGATTAAAATCTTCAATGTGGTAGAGAGGTTGTTCAATCCTTCTGACATCTTTTCCTTTGATACTGACTGTCCTCTGAGGCACAGGTGGAGAAATCGCGTCCCACAGAGTTTCATACACACCATGGTCGTCGTCATCATCATCGTCATCATCATCATCATTGTTACCACGAGCTGTGGGAGAAGGTTTGCCCCCTAGAGCTTGCCTTTGCTCTTGGCTAATCTTGCGTATCCTCTCTTTCTGCAGAGAGTGATGAGGAATCAAATTTAAAAAAAAAGGTCACGCAACGCTTTCGAGCAGTATACATACATCTTATTCGATAGTTTGACATATAATACGCGCGGATATTTTGTGAGTTGCATAGTATTTTTTTTTTCGAGCTCCACAGGGGCGAGGAAAAGTACAAGCAATGAGCAAAATATTTGCGCGTATTATATGTTAAACCATCAAATGAGGGATTTATTATTCTATCATTATTTCGTCTCTAACATTTTGGTCTCTAGTTTTCAAAACAGTTCCCACGTTTTCGCTCCGCCGCTCCATTTTACAAACTGAGACAAGCCTTGGACAGGTTGCCATCCACAAGACCCTGGCACCAAACGCGTCACCTTCCACTCGGAAACACAAACTTGTGTGAAACCATAGATTAGACACAGTACATTGCGAGTTACCTAGGCTCAGCTTAACTGCAACAATAAGTGCTCACCTTCGTGATGGCTATTGCCTCCGCGAGCATCATTTGGTTGATACCGCAAGTGTTTGGAATGAATCTCTCGCACTTCTTGTGGTAGTTCAAGCCACATTCTAGACAAGACACAAAGCTGTTAGTCTCCTTCGCAACCGTGATTTGGTCTCATCGGTTGGGCCTGTCAGCTAAATGACTTTTAAAGTGTACCTCTCTTCTAAAATAAACTCAAAATGACAGTTACCTTTGCACTTCAGGCCTTGTTTGTATAATCCATACAACATTGATCCACAATGGTCACAAAAAGTTGGTCTTAAATATGTTGTTAGCCCCAATTTATGTGGAATGTCAACTTTGAATCTCTCCTTCATTTTCTAGAAAAACAAAAATTACAACAGCATCAGTAAAAGAAAGAAACAATTCCTAAGATCTAATTGGTAATTCTTTCCTCTGTCTCCTACACATTTCCATAGAAATAATTTACAAGAGTTGGTGTTAGGTCAAGATAATAACTCCACATGCAGTGCATTCAAGAAGATGAGAGGAAGGTGGCTCCTTTGATAAAGTACTCGCTGGAGAATTTCCCTCTTGTCATCTGATTACTTCCAATCAGAATAAACTGGCTTCAAACAGAGGTTTCGGCGTTAATTTCCCTAGATGATCATTAAATATTCGTCTCCTTTATAACAATAGTTTGACTGATCGTTTTATTTCTGATCAAAATCTTCCATTTGCTGACTTTCAAGCCAGGTCCTCAAGTTTCAGACAAACAGTCCTCTGAAAGGACATATGGTTATTGGGTAACGAAGTTTGAGTCAGTATGTTCTTGGAAACTTAAAATCTTTTTTGTTGGAAATGAATGCTGGAATATTTGATAAAACAATATCAACAATTTTTATCAAAACTCATTTATAAAGGTAAAAGTTGACAGAAAGAACTCTAAAAGATCTCAAGGTGTTTTGGGTCTCACTTCACTACTCTGCTCAAAAACTTCCAAAGTTTTAAAGAAGTTACTTGTTTATCAGTTCTGGGAGTTAAATTCAACCAATACCTTGGTCTCCTCAGCTACATTTTGTGTTCCAGGGCAGTGACTGACAATTCTGTCATGACACTTTTTATGACACACCTTTGTACAAACTGAAAGTTCAAAAAGGTAATTTTAGCAAATGCACCATTCATGGAGAGAGCAGTAGGAGACACAGAGTATAACCCCAACCGCAGTTTTACCCAAGCAGTGGGTCTTATGTATTCTTTATATGAGGGTTCTTTTCATTAAATAAATGTCCTTCCAATGCTAGCTTTTTTCCCTCTTGACACTGTTCACAAAAATATATGTTAAGATAAAAGATTCAGCTAAATTCAAGATAGTTTAGAATGTGGTTTTGTTAAAAAGGGCTTAACTTTGTTAAAGTAACCTGCCCTTAATGTTTAGCATGCTGGACCCTGCCCCAGATAATGAGCAAAGGGGTCCAGGTTTCAAAAACTGGATGCCTCAATGAATTGTGTTCTTGCAAAGATTACTCTCAAGTACAAACTTCAATTCTCTCAAAACCACAAAATTTTGTTTTTTCAACACAAAAATCTGCAAAATATAACTTTGACCTACAAATAAAAGTTTCATTCCTTCACTCCTCTTCCCTAATTATTCTTTATCTGTTGGTGTTAACCCATAAGTGATAAAATAAGATGCTCACAAGGTTGTCAAAACAATTTTGTGTAACAAGACTGTGATACAAAGCAGGCAGCACTAAGAGCTAAAGGCCCCTTCCACAGGCAAGGGCTCTGGGAGCTGCCGAGCCCTCCAAGCATTCAAAATAACAAGTGGATTTTTTAGAGTTAATAGTGAAATGGGCTGTTTGCTAAATTATTTTGGCTGCCCGGTGCTCCCTTGTGCTTTTCCAAGCTGTGCTAAAGGGGTGACTTCTAATTCCCACCCTCGCTCAGTAACATTAACTGGCATTAAAAAAAAAAAGAAAAAAAATTAGTTAAGCATCGATTATGAATAACAAAGCTCACCAGTGCATTGATATCCTTGCTTTCCAAATCCCCTGAAATAATAAAATTAATTGACAGAAGGTTATATTGGTTAGATATCAGGTGCTTACTACAGCGTATTGGAGCTGATGGCACATTTTAATCAGTAATGATAAACATAAATGTTTCAACAGTCTTAAAAATGGTTTGAAGTAGCTTTAACTAACACTTACCACATAAATTCTGTACAAACAGAACAAAACACAGGCTGCCGAAAGAATCTGGCAACATAATTGTGACCATTAAAAATGTGACATTTCTGTTTTCGCATGGCACCACGCCTTCCAGTGAGCCCACTGTGGTTTTCATGGGGTTTACCTTCTTTGGTAGGGTCATCTGTAAAATCACAGGTAAACAATAATAATCAAAGTAAGCAGCACATTTTATAGAGAGTTATAGAATAAGGTAATCTTAGATCAAACACTCTAAATAGTGTGCAAATACACCCTCATTATTTGTTCCCATCACTCAAGGCCTCATACTATCCTCTGGATAAAGAAACTCTTAGGCCGAGAGGCTAACAATGAAGGCCTGTTGACAGACTACAATTTCAATAAGATAAAGCTGTGAGTGACATCTGATACAGCAGTCATTTCTGCCTCTGTTTCACAAAATAATGTCAAATAATTCCTTAAGAGAATGAAGCATTCTACCAGAAACACTTTGAGCTTTTTTTTAAATCCATTTAATCCTTGAATCATTTGCTCTGATCTTTTCCATTTACGATTTTTCACTTTCACATAATAATATGTCAGTAGTTTGCTAGTTATCTAGCAAAAAAAGACTAAAATCTATCAATCAATCATTCAAAAATCAAACTGATGGCAAAGTGAAATTCATTGTGGTGTTAGAATTTCAACTTTCTCAGAAAACACTCAACAATAACTTCCCCATTTTCCCTAAAAAGACAACAAAATCAGTCATCAAAAAATTAACAGATAAGAGATTGAAACTCATCATGGTGCTAGAATTTCAACTTTCTCAGAACACACATGACAACAACATCCTCATTTTCCTGGAATTGTCTAAAACAAGAAACAAAATAATTACCTAAAACTTCAATAAAATGCCGCACTTGAACCAGTAGTCTGCCATTGGGTTGAAGATCCAGCTATATCAGAGAAGGAAAAAAAAAACATTTTTTCACTTACAACTCAGCCATTATTTTTTAATGATTAAAATCCAGTACGCTGGTTTCACTATTATAACACTTTTTTTACCATTTATCAAATTGAACTGTGATCAGAGAGTTGTTTTTTTAATGTCTCATACAGCTATCATGAGGTTAACCATAGCAAAGCTAGGCATGTTGAGTTCATTCCAGTGAGAATCAGGCAAGTGCCTGTGGAACACAAGCATCTACTTCACCAGAATCTCTTCCCACCACTTTTACCCTTTCATTACCAAGATCTGAATGAAAATTCTCTTTACTGTCTGATGCACATTCCTTAAAAAGATTGTGTTAAAAAATTGGTGATGAATCAAATGATAATCCCCCTAATTAACATTTTTTCCAAGTCTCATCCCATAGCTGCTTGATAATGTAGAGATACTGTAAGGAGAGATTATATCTTGGTCACTTGGGAGCAAAAAGGTGAACTCACTGTTTCCTTCCCAGTTTTAATCAATCTCTTTGGGTACATAAAAAATTAAGCTAAAATTTATTTCAGATCAAAACAAGTCTAATTTGTAATCTTAGAAGCTGGTACTTCAAGATTGAGTAGGCAGCAAAAGCACCGTCTGCCAGTGCTTCTGAAGAACATTGCAATGTGGTTTTTCTGTTCTGACTCAGCTTGCCTACAGGAAATGACAATCTCCTGTTTGCAAAGCTGCTGTCAAGCCCTGATCAATACAAACATAGGTTGAAAAATATATTTGCCAAAATCGAATCATGTCATTTCAATACTGCGACAATCATCTCTTGTTTAGTTAAGAGATAATATTGAAAGTAATTAAGAAGCATCATGTAGCCAAGGCATGATAGAACACAACAATAATATTGTCTCCCATCAATGCAAATCAGGTGATTATATGAATTTTTATTGTGCTTAAATAATATTTGATGCATACCTCTGGAAAAAAAAAACATTGGAAACTACAATGTAAACGCATAATTGAACTAATCATTTGTTTCAAAGATGGGATCCCTTTCAGTTACTTCTCCAGGGACAAATTTAGAAAGACATTAAGAATATTCAGCCGAGTATTCAATCATATTACAAAGAATATCAGTGCGATTATTTCAAATGGCAAAGGTAGTCTGTGCGTTATTCCTCACACTCCTGAGATTCGTCCAACACAACAAGTTATACAAAAGATTTTGATGCAAATTTTGCAACATTCTTCGACGATTACAAAATATCACATACTTTGCTGTCGCCAAGAGCTTCAGCATTACAAACCGATACAAACTATATTTAAAACAAAATGTACTTTTATGCAAATTTGTAGCTCGGATTCTGTTTGAAGTGCGATAGTAAACCTAATAATACGCTTTTTATTCCCAAAGTAATTAAATCGCTTTTGTTTTCCATTCTCCATCTCAAGGCTTCTCTTAGCTTCTTAATCTCAATTAGCCGTGAAATTAATTTGTACAGAGCAGAAGGAAAAATAACGAATACATGCTTCTTTAGACTAAAATCACGATCGATACAATCTGAAAGGTTTTAATATATTAGTATGGATATTTATGGAGGGATGGCAGATGTCGAAAAATGATTGAAGGAGGAGGCCTATTACCTATTATTATTTTCACAACGAAAATAGAAGCGTAGTTAGAATTTGATACGAACTCACCCAAACACTGGAAAAACCATGTGCATCACGCTTGCATTGATCAACCAAGAACTGAACTCCAATTGAGACATCGGCTACAACCTTTCCAGTAGGTTTCTGTAGAACTACAATGGTTATTACTCGGCCTTCGTATAAATGAGTATCAAAGCACTTGTTCCATTCTGGATAAATTGTCTTTTTCTTCTGCACTAGTGAAATTCCCTGCGATGCAGACATCACTGCTTCTTTTATGTGCACAGCGCAGTAACAATCAAAGGACTGTGGGTCTTTCACCCAAGTCGACGCCGGCTCGACTTCTATCAATTTTACTCGGATAAAACCCATGATCACTTCACCGTTAACGCCAGAAATTGAAAGAGTTATATCCCGTCTTTAACGCTCTACCTCCGTAGTGACATATCTCCGCGTATATGTGACTGTTTTAAAGATTTCCGTTGCTTGTAATTCTAAGAAGAGACTATCGTTCGTTTATAACGTGACTCAAAGTTTGAGAAGTGACCTCAATGTTGAGTCGACCCGTGACATCTCCTATATTTGGGCAAGTGCTTCCAAATTTGGGTGTAAAACTCACTTCCGTTTACTATTTGTTTTGTTTATTTCCGGGGGTGTTCACAAAACGACTTCAATATTGTAAAGACCTTGACGAGTGCTTTGACGTAAAAGCTACGCGGTGGAGGGTCATCATCTCCGGATATAATTCATATGGTAATCGATTTAATAACTACCAAAAATACCCAGACAGGTAGTTAAAAAAGAGAAAAAACAGGCGCAACAATGATAATAAACATTCATTTTAAAAGATCTGAAATGTTTGCGAGCGTTTATAGTGTGAAAATTATACCTCAGTAGATTGTATCGGAACAATGAAGTAATTTTTTTTGAAATGACACTTCTTGCGATCCGTTTCGCAGAAGTTTACAGTTTATTTGAAAATTTTACAGGTATAAATATTTAATCATTCTTTACAGCATTGAGCTAATTCCCATGGGAAGTTGCATTGTTTCTGGGGTAAACGGCAAACCTTTGTTTGTATTGTTAAAATGAAGGAGCGTCGTAAAGGATTAGTTCTGCAAACAGCGCACCTAAATGTCTGTGCGTCATTTCGGAAAGACAAATCGTTGATTTATTTACAGAAAATGGCTTAAGTACAGAATACCCTGCCACTTATTTACATGTCATTATTGTGTTATGCCTCGTTCTTGAAAGCCTCACGGCACATGTAAATGAGGTAGACCAAAGTGGCAGGATATTCTGCTGTTTCCCAGAAAATACCACCTTTATTAGGTGATTGGCATGTTAAACGTTAGCTAAACAGTCTACTGTTTAATAAAAGTAATGAATCAGCAACCACATAAGTGCAACGGTACAGTCATTGTCACGTACACATTGAAAATTTCAGATGTGTCTGCAGGACCTGGGACATATACTAGTGCTCAGACCTCTGATGTAATGTAAGTGCAATCTGCCTCTCTTTGAACAATGCAGAAGATATCGTGTTTAGAGAGGCTAGGGACATAAAAGGGCCTTACAGGAATTTCTTAAGCCAGATTCGATTCAGTTTTGCCTTTTGTTTGTGTAAGGGATAATATTTAGCGATGACATCGCATCCAGCCCGCAAGCGGCGAAAGCTGGTGTTACACTTGGATGTTAACAACACCGTGTTCATTGGTGATTCTATTACAAAACAGGTGACACCAGAATCAGCTTTGAACGAGTATCTTGTGGATGTCGTTTGGGGAAAACTGGACACCACAGGATCATGGAAAAGCGCAGATAACAGCCTACATGACAAACCCCCTGATCAAGAAGCGATATCTTACTATCGATTTGCACAATCAAAGTATAATGGAAAGCCACGAAAACATTTCAAAACGCACATTCGCAACTTCACGGAAGAAGAGATTGGAAAACCATTCAGGAGCTTTTATAGCCAAATGCTGACGGCTCTGGAATTCCCAGGCGACCTAAAATGCAGTAATGGGGAGCTACCCTCCTTCAAAGACAACTCTGGAAAATCTTATCATTGTATTGTACCCTCCTTTTACAAACTTTTGGACCATTTGTTCAAGAGTGGACGAGAGTTTGCCATTGTTTTCCGGACTTTTGGTGGGGACGGTCAAATCGTGTTGAAGGCTGCAAGAGATTTCATTGACGAAATGATCCTCAAGAATCCACAGCATCACCAGACATCTGTCTCAAGTGGGAAACTTGTGGACAGTTCATCATTTGGATTAAAATTCACCACTGGGACAGTGACACAGTCAAATGACCACATCTCTTTGGAATTTCCAGGAGAAGTTACACTTTCAAACTCATGGGATATTTATACATATTTCAGCCATGCCACAGGGATACAGCTAGTTGTAGACGATTATTCATGGTGGAAAGCCCAAGATTTTTGCTCAACAGCAGCAAAACCTTTATTAATTGATCCATGTGATGAATCAGTTCATCACATCATGTTTGACGATAATTTCCGTCCATGGGAGCCAGAGGATAGCATTGTCAATGTATTAGCTGTAAAGGATAAGCAGTTTTGCACAGTGGATCCAGCAATTTTTGATAATATGTGTGTAGTGAAAGCTGATCTTTATCAAAGCATTTGTAATGAAAACTATTTTGTAGATAAAATTGAATTGTGTGAAAGAAATTACCAGAAGTTTGTGTTAGAATCAGAAAACAAAGAAGTAAGTTAGTTTTTATCATTTGATTAAAGTGATCAGTAGGGAATGTTGGGAAGTTAAAATGGAGGCATGAATGAAAGCATGAAAGAGAAACTGGGCTTACTGGCAGTAGGCAGGAAACTGGTAGCATTTTAGATCTGTGTAGGTAATAACAATTTGATGTTAATAAGCACAAGTAAATTTTTAAAAGTCAACAAAACTGCACAAGCTACACGGTCTCATGCAATTTGATTTCCTTGAAAAAAATTTACAAGTGCTTAGTTACATAAAATCAGACAAGAAATCATGTTGTTACTTATTAATAATTTACACGGGAAAAGGATCACTGAAAGAAAAGACAGACAAAATTTTTTACAGGGCACACTACTTGTAATTTGCACTCATATTACAACTTTGCACTTGTGTTATGTGAAAAATGCACTAATTTTTAGCCAATCAGAAGTGTGTGATTTTTTTCATCCATTTTAATATTCTTGAAATACTGTTGATCATATTCAGAAATGGAAACCTTTGGGGAAATATTAACCCACTTCCTCCTTTCTCCTTCCTTTTTCTGTCACTAACCCCCTTGTTCAGACTTCCCCTGCTGTAAGAATCAAAGATGGCAGCCATGATTTTCACCGAGAAAATTTATAAAAAGCACTCATTGGCTAAAACCCCACCTGCAATACTTGCAAGGGATATTTGATGTGCTTTTCTTTGTCCACTCCCATCCCTTTAATTTTTATAACTGCTACATTTTCAGTCACTCCCTGCAAACTGCAGCTGGACACAAATAATTTGACCAAAAAGAATCACACAACAAAGCAATCAAGCTTGAACAGACACCCTCAGTTTTCCTTTTATTTTTGATGGAGTAAAACTTTCTTTAATTTCATCTCCTTTTATCTGAAAGGTGTGGCAAACTATAGTAGAGACATGGAGATACATACCGGTATCCCATCTACGTTATGATTTGGGGGGCATATGGACTTCACCTCGCACTAGGTCGCGAGATGTTCTAGCATTACTGATCAGCGGTCGTTCCATTGACAAGACAAACAAACATGGCGGAATGTCCAACATAAGTGGAACGATCAGCGAGAGTCAAATTTGCTCGATCAAACTCGGGAAAATGGATTTAATTTTTTCCTCCCATATCCCAGAAGTAAAGGCAAGTGTTAACTGAATTATTTGCATAAAAATTTGACAGTGATGTGCGTTTTAAGTTTGCAAAATTAATGAACGAGAATCAAACAGAATCAAGTTGTCCAAGTTGCAGCCAAAACACTTTGATTCAGCAGATTTTTGTTGGATGATGTTTACCTTTTGTTTTCCCTTCTAGAGAGTGATATAGGCTTACATCAGGATTGAAAGATGGCATTTATAGATGATCCAGAATTTGTTATTGCTCATATTCGACACTCGTGTGTTGTGACAGATGAAACAGGTAATTTAACAGTGTCCACAGACCAAATTCCCTTTCTGCTCAACAAGTAGATTCTATGTTGTCATCTGTCTGTTCAGTAATAGATCACAGATGACTTCAAAATATGGCAAGAAAAAAAAGTGGTACGTGAGACGAGAATGTCACTGTTCTTACGACATTTTGTCTCCTGTGCTGTACAGACCCATGGCAACATAGAACTTTTATTATTGATAAAAAAGCAAAATTGTGATGTCATCTAAGTGTCTTCCTTCTATAGATCATAAGTAAGAACCAATCAAAAAACGTAGGAAAAAAACAGATTATAGTCAGGAATCTGTTTCCATGGACAGATACCCAGCCATTGATGAGCTTTGTTGGGAACTGGCAAGGGTGGCAGGATGACAAAATCCAAAATTAATCTTATTTCTTAATCAATATACACAGCAGCTCAACACTTTATCAGAGAATTTTATTTAATGGTCAGATTCTCTTCTACTGTACAGGGATGTGTGAACAAGTAATTATTAATGAAGAGTTTGAAAATGAGAAAGCTATCAAGCACCGCAAGAGGATCATTGGAAAATACACAGTTGATAGGTGTGTAGATTCAAGCTTACAGTATTTTGAAATTTAAGTTGTAAGGGGATCACCAGTCATTTTCTTAAGAATGAGAATAATGATAATGAATAGTAACTGGGAGCATCATTTTTGTCTTGATTATCACAGTTGTCATCACTATTTTTGTCTGGGCTTTTGGTAGTTGGCCTATTGCGTTGATAATTTTTCTTGACAGAACACTTTGGCTTTAGCCGTTTAACTACCAAGACCAGATTGTTGGTTCTCCCCTCCAGCAGTTACACATTTACTGAATATGAATTAGTAATAAGAATTTGGTGTTAGATCATAATAACTTTTACCTGACAAGTTTGAGTATTCTCATCACTTGTTTGCTGCATAGTGTTTGGATATTATTGGGAGAAGTGATTAACATGTAACTTCTCCCTATAATATCCATACATTATCCAGCAAACAAGTTGTGAGAATACTCAAACTCATCAGGTACAAGATATTACCTTGATCAAACAACAAATTCTCACAACCAATTTACAAGGAAATGTGTAGCACTAGAGAGGAGAATTAACAATCAGATCTGGGGAGTTAAAGGGTTAATTAAATTTTTAACACTAACAAGGTGGTGTTAATTTGAGGGTAGCTTTGATTTGAGAGTGGGAATCATTTCAAAATCATGTCATTTAAATCATCAACAATAGTTTATGACAGAACAATGGTCAAACTCATTGGTAGTGCTTAAAGTGGAAAGTTAACACGTTTTAAGTTGTGTTGTGCTTTTTTGATAATTATAAATTTTCATGGATGATATAGATATTTGTATTCTACTTGTAATTTTCTTATTCTCATCAAATTAATGTTAGTAGCATTTTTCTGAGTGGGTGTCTAAATGTATTGTTTATTCAAGGATGGTATTTGTAAATAAGAACAGTATGAGGTTAGGAGGTGGCATTAAATCAAATTACAGTGTTAGTGCTTTTCACATATATCCAGACTGCTCTTTACAACAGTTTTTAATTCTTTTTTTTTGCAGAGATTCTTTTGATTTTCCAAGTTATCCTCAATCATTTGACATTGCTGTCAGCCCTGGAATTAGCAGAAACTCCAAGTCACAAGGAAAGGGTGACCGAAGTAGAAGAGAAAAGTGTGTTACTTTCACTTACTTACCATTCAGAGTAGTTTTTAACCCTTTAACTCCCAGATCAAATGTGTAATCCTTCTTACTGTCAACCATACAATTCTTGTAAGGTTAGTTCAGAGAATTTAGGATTGGATCAACTAATTATCCCCAAATTGATATATTTCTTTATTCTCATCACTTATCTGGTTGATATTTTATTGATATTGTCAAGCGCAGTTCTGTCTTGGTCACTCATGAGCATAGGAAAATGAAAACCAAAGTAATCACAACTACCAATCAGAACAAAGGTTAACATCATAAATTACGAACCCTTCACACCCTAACATCAGTATTCATATTCTCCATACTGTTCTCTGTAGATTTACTGAGGTGCTGACAAGGAGAATTTATCTTAAAATCAAGACTTTCTTCAGTTACTGATCATTTCCTTTATTCTCATGACATTAATGTGTGCTTCAGTGGTGATAGTGTAAGGAGAAATTAGATGCTAATCACTCTAAGGGTCAAAGGGTTAACCATTGGGAACTCAAAGTAGAAACAGGTTAACTGCCCAAAGTGCAGGACAATGTCTTTGTCCAAGTTGAGATTGGTTTTTAGTTTTGCATTTGATTGACTGACAGAGAGGCACAAGTTTTCTTGACAAATCACAGAGTTAGGTGAAGGAAAACCAAAGCAATCAGGGATCACTTTGAATACTCAATTGAAAAATGCTTTGTCCACGGAACATGAAATAAATGTGTCACCATAGTCATGCCCCCTCAACCATTCAACCCCTAAGAGTGATGCGCATCTTATTTCTCCCTACAATATCAGCCCTGAGTCACACATTAAGGTCACAAGAATAAAGGAAATGATCACCAACTAAAGAAGCTCTTGATTGTTAAACAAGTTCTCCTTGTCAGCAACTTAGGAAACATGTAGAGAACAGTATGGAGAAGATGCATACTGATGTTAGGGTGTAAAGGGTTAAGTTGTCTTTACAAGACTATTTTGATTAACTTTTATTAAATGTATTTATTTTAAGAAATGGAGAAGTTAGGTGCACAACAGTTTCATGGAAAGAAGGACAGAAGAATGCTATGAGTGGTATGACATTTTTTTGATAATTTTAGTCTAGAAAGTACAAAATGCATGGATCAAAATAATTTATAAGATTTAATAATTATTAAATATTATGATTGTAGATTATAATATATGATATCAATTCAAAACTAGGGCTTATGTTTTGTTGTTACAGTTAGTGTCTCCCAGAGTCATGTTCAAACTTGTTTTTCTTCGGATCAAACTACATTTTATTTGTCATACATGTGAACACTTTGGTTCTGACAGAACTTTTGAAGTCAGAAATTTTTGAAAATCATATAATTAAGTAAAAAGGTAAAGAGTGCATTAAAGCAAGGAGTATCAGTGCTCCCCTCTGGATGTGCTGCCAGTCCATCACAAGCTTTTCATCAGGCTTCTCTGACAATTGTAGACAAAAAAAGAATTCTACTGAATTTCTTTTAAAGCTTTTAGATCTGAAATCAGATTTCACACTAACCTTGGGTTATCTTAGCCCATCTTTGAACCGTATCCAGTCAACTCGCCGACGGACCAACTCACCGACGCCAACTCGCTGATGTATAAAATCGAGTAGAGACGTCGGCGAGTTGGTCATCAATCCAATGCAACTTATTAGAAGTTAAACATACAGAAAAGTAAACGATATTTAGTAAAAAAACACTGGTGAACATCAAACAGAAGCTTAAACATTGGTGAACATTGGTGAACATCATCAATGACTATAACAACTTAAGACACAAACGAGTTATTGTGCGACAACAACACCATAAAGACGCATCATGTCAATCGCTCAGATTTTTAAAGAATTGGCTTTCTAGATAAGATCTTTAGTAAAAAGCTATTCTTTCTATTTGCAACAAAGTTTATAAAGATATCAAGGCGAATAAAGCGAAGTAAACATCGGCAATGAACAAAATTGGCTGCAGACGCGAATGAGTTGTGTGACAACAACACCGTAAAGACTCGTCATGTCAATCGCTCAGATTTTTTAAAGAAAACTTGCAAAAAAGCAATTCTTTTTATTTGCAACAAAGTTTATAAGGATCTCAAGGCAATTAAAGCAAAGTAAACATCGCCAATGACTATATCCACTTCGGACGCGAATGAGATAACTTGTTCGTGTCTTAAGCTGTTATAGTCATTGGTGATGTTCAAAAATGTTCACCAATGTTTAAGCTTCTGTTTGATGTTCACCAGTGTTTTTTTTACTAAATATCTTTTACTTTTCTGTATGTTTAACTTCTAATAAGTTGTATTGGATTGAGGACCAACTTGCCGACATCTCTACTCGATTTTATACGTCAGCGAGTTGGCATCGGCAAGTTGGTCTGTCGGCGAGTTGACCGTAATTCCTTTGAACAACCCACCCCCTCTAGGTGTATAGAGGCACTGTGAGAGTTAAATGTTTCACCAAAAAACACAACACAATGACCCAGCCAGTCTCAAACCCAGACCTCTCTATCAAGTGTCCAGCTCATTAACAATCAGGCCACTCCATCTCCCACTAAAATAATATTGGCTGGGCTAGATTATTAAAGGTGGACTACATTTCTTTTTTCCAGAAGAAGATCTGTCTAAAGTTTTTGCCAAACGTGAAGTAAAACCAGTTAAAAATAAACCAGTGGCAGTTTCTCAGCTCAGCAGACAACTGGAGGAATCCCGTGGTAAACCAAATAATCCATTCCTGGAGTATTCCAAATTTGAAGGAGAGGTGAGAAGGGTTATAACCTTTAAAGTTGTCATAGTAACTTCTATTAGTGTCCACATTCTCTGTGTGTTTATTAAGAAACTATTCTCCTGAAACAGAAGTCAATTTTTTTTTTCAGGCTTTCCAAGGAACTTGTACCAAAAAACTCAAGATATTTTTAACTATGCTACCAGAGGTATTCATGATCAATATAATTACATAGATTGTATAACCTCAGTTATAACCTCAGAGATAAACATATAGGAGTGGACTTATTTAATAAGATTTTGATTAAAATTAGTTTAAACCTTAAACTTGCAAGATTATTGATTCTCCCCCAGCCACCACCCATCTTCTTGTAAGTTAGTTTCAGGAATTTCATGTTAGATCAAGATAAAAATTTCTACCTGATAAGTTTAAATATTCTCATTACCTGTTTGCTGGTAATATAGGAATGCTGAAGAAAAAGTTACATGTTTATCACTTCTGGGAGTGAACAGAATCTGTTGTGCATATTAAGTGTCTTGTGAAATGATTGATAGTTTGAACTGAGTCGAAATTCAAGAAATAAGTGATCATTATGAGAACTAACTTGATATTTTTTTATGCTTAATTCTGCAGGAAGAAAGAGCCATGCCAATGATTGTCACAGTGTTAGGTATAAAACAAATATGCACAAAAGATGATACATTTTCATAATTACTCTTTGAATGGCAGAGATGAAGATTATGTGATTGCACAGAGCTGATTTTTTTTTTTTTTACTTCTCAACTTGAACAGGAAGTGCCTGTGTACAGGACTTAATAGGACTTATCTTGTACAAGTATACAAACCAGGGATTACAGCCTCCACTCAAGGTACAAAATGTTAGCTATGATGTGGCCCTGTTCAAACGGTCATGATAATAGGCCATTTTACAGTTGTGTACTTTGTTGCCAAGCCTTTGATTTGGAGCAAGGCTGAAGGTGACTATGTTGTGATAGAGGCCAGTATCTAGTAAGCATGTCAACAAAGTAATTTGCATTTGAAAAAGCAGCAAGGTTTGTATCATAACAAGGTCAACCTTAGCCTCACTCCTGTTCAAAGGCTTGGCAACCAAGCACACAACTTTAAAATGGAGTATTGGTGATAGTTTCAACTATCATGCACTATCATCAACTAAATGTATCATGTAGTTTGGACATGTTCAAATTTGACATGATAGTTGATGATAGTTTTTTCCATTTGAACAAGTGGTGGATAGTGAAAGATAGCTCTTCAGTCAGCAGTTTTGCCAAAAACAGGTTCAAACTGGAATGGCAAATTATAATATGACTTACTTAGTAGCTAACAAAATTTTGCAGAATGTCTCTCAGGTCATTCTCATCATCTTCTGGAAGGCTTCAGTATCTTCAACTTGCAACTTCTTGACTAAAATTTCAAATACCACCAAATTTGCTGACCTCAGTGCACGCCATATTTGTTTATAATTACCCACTTTCATTACATGATTTTGTCAACTATCATGAAGTGTTTGAAGGCAAACATGATAGTCTATGAATTGGTAAATGAAAAATAAAAATATCGTTGACTGTCATCAACTATCATGACCCTTTGAAAGGGGCTTTAGTGTAGAGGAAATTCACTTTTGGACATTATCCATTTTTATTGAGAAATATTAGTGAGAGCAAAAAGTACAATTTACTGGTTTGTTGTCCAAAGGAAATGAAACATTTCTTTCTTATATCGCTTTTCAGAATGATGTCAAATCTTTTTGTTTGCATATGGCTGAGGATGATGGGGAAGTTGACACTGACTTTCCAGGTACACACATGCTGCACATTTGTTATTCCACTAAAACCATTTCAGGACTTAGGATTGGGATTTAACAATGGGATGCACAATGTAGAACAGGGCCAAAATACAGACAGAAAGTGGAATTTCAAAATGGTCGCACTGAATGATCCCAACTTTGGTTTTATTTCATTTTTTTTAGGCTTGATTTTTAAATCAACCAACTTTTAAGCGCACTGCATCATTTTTGTTTCTTTGCTAACATATCAAGTGTGTTAACCTTTATTGTGTGATAATTATTATTCCATGTTTGTGTATTCATTTAATCTCCAATTTTTGTTGTACTGTAGCTCTGGAGAACAAGGAGCCCATCACAAAATTTTTTTTCAATTGTCTGGCTTTGGTTCAGGTAACTTAGGAAAAAAAATGACATATTCGATACAAGTAGTGTATACTAGTCTAGTGTTTTGATAGCTTTTTTATAAGAACTAAATGGATTGATGGGATGGTAATCACTGTCTAATAATATGGATTAAAATATACTAAAACAGCAGATAGCTTTTAAGGCGCACTCTGATCATCTGCTCCAACCCTAAGCAACTTGCGCAGGATTTGCATCCAAAATTATTGCAATTGCTGCAGGAATAACTGAAAAATTAAAATCATCTTTACAATCTGTATTATCTCATTGTTTAAGCATATACTAAACTAACCACTTACCTTAGTGTCGGTGGCCAGTGGTGAATATTTATGGTGCCACTGCATAGCTCAGTAAATATCCACCACTAGTCACCTCCACTTTGGTGAACAGCAGTTAATTATCAGATTTTTTGTCAAATGTGTTAAAAAACCATTGGGAAGTACCCTATACGAAGTCTAATAATATTATACATTGTACTCTAACTCTTTGTTGATCATTACAATTTCTAGAAAGATGCCAGTCCTGCTAAACCAACTCCTCCAAAACCTTCTGCAGGGATCATAGTAACAGTGTAAGCTCAAATGTTTTTAATCATGCTAAAATTCTCATGCCAATGCTGGAGATTAGACAGTAGTGAGAGTGTTCACCTCCTACCTTTGTGACCCAGGTGTAATTCCCAGGCCTGGTGTAACATGTGGGTGGAGTTTGTTGTTGATTCTCATCCTTGCTCTAGTGGTTTATCTCCAGGTCCTTTGGATTTCCTCCCTTTACAAAAACCATTATTTCAAATTTCAATTCTACCTGGAAACAATGGAGAAGAAGAGCCACCTCGTGGATTGTTCACTGCTAATAAAAAGAGCTATTATTGTTATTAGTATTTCCCACTACACTCGATTAACATATTTACAAACTTGCAGAAACTACTTCTTTAAAGATAACATAATAAACTTCTGTATTAAGCAGTCACCCTGTGTTAACCCTTTCACTCCCGAAATCTAATTAGTAGTTCTCCTTACTATCTGCCATGCAATTCTTATGAAGTTGGTTCAGAGAATTTGGTATTGGATCAACTAATAATCCCATAATTTATATTCTTCTCTATTCTCATCATCTACTTGCTTGATATTGTATTGATATTGTAAGGAGAAATTCTGTCTTGGTCACTTGTGGGAGTGAAAGGCTTAAGAAGTCAGTTGCCTAAGACCCGAATGTGTTTCCCCTTTAATCACTGTAATTTTCATCTCTATTTCAAGTGGTCACCTCTATATTTTTAGCAGTGGCAGTCACCCTTTACTAAGTCCCAAAGGCTTGCTTGTATTGTCTTCCACCTGTAGTGAACTACCACCAGACCTATAATGCCCCTAATCTGTGAAACCTGTATTGAGCAGTCAACCTGTATTAAGCACATCATATTCTCTATACTGTTCTCTATACATTTACTAAGGTGCTGATCAAGAGGTTCTTTAGTTGGTGATCATTTCCTTTATTCTCATGACATAAATGTGTGATTCAGTGGTGATAGTGTAAGGAGAAATTAGATGCTAATCACTCTTCTGGAGTTTAGGGGTTAAGCAGTCATCCCACCATTTCCTGTGGGTGACCTCTTAACACTGGTTTGACTGTATTTGCCTTTCCAGTAATGAGCCCCAGCATGGCTTTTCAAGAGTGAAGGTGGACAGCATGAATGCAAAGATGAAACAAGTCTATGAAAAAATGGTCAAAAAAAGAGGATTGAGAAGAACAGGTTTGAAAATTTATTATATGCCTAATGTCTGCTCCTGAGGGAATCATTGTCTCAATGTTTCCCCGAGATAAAGTAAGGGTGGGGAAAAATAGGACTTGATGGAAAACAAAACTTACTGTTTCCCTCTGGAGCAGACTTGAAGTGTTTTTTCATTCTTACAGCAAACCAACATAACATAGTAAACATTCAGCCAAAAAATGAGTGTTACTTTAATTTGTTAATGACAGTGCAACTTTGTTTCTTGTAAACACTGCAAATGTACTTTTAAAGAACTGTATTTTCAGAGGCCTTCTGCTCCAACACTTTTTTTAATCACAGGCTGCTTCCATTGTGTTTTAAGAACTAGTGGAGACTAGCAACAAATTAATGTTGTCTGGATTTGCTGAGAAGCTCAGAGAATCACATCATCAACCTAGGCCTGATTCTGATCATGTGCAAAATCTGAATATTGATTGCATTCAGTAAATGCAATTAATGTAAATGCTCAGGATACAATTTTTGATATCCTGTCAAAATTGTATAGCAAATGGTATACATCCTAAATTTATGCAAGGTCATGTGATTGCAAATCAGCCAGTCCAAATTGTGTTTAGAACAAGGGACATTGTGGAACCCAGTGTTTGTTTTTTCTGAAGCCAGTCAGTTGGTCGGAATCTTAAAGTCGTGAATCTTATTGGCTAAATATGCAATAATCTTCAAGAAGATTCACTGCTCTTTTAGGCAGATTATTTACTAATGTATTGAGTAATTCTAGTTCTTTGTTATCTTTCCTCTTTTTTTAACTCAGCAAAGGAATATGTCTTGGAAAAACAGACAGAGCCAGGAGTTCCCATAAGTCTTGATGCAACTCTAGAAAGCATGGGAACAATGGAATTCTGTCTGGTCAGATTTGGCCGTAAGTAGATTTTTATTAGCTGACTTTCATTTAATTTATAAGTATTACAAGTTTACAGTAGCTTTTTTTAAAAATCCATTCTGGCATTACTGGTAGTTCTTGAAATCTGATTGTCTCATAACAGTGCAATCTGTATGTAATTGTACTTCTTTTACCCAGAATTGCATCTTTAACCATTTACATTTTTCCCTTTAACTCCTAAGATCTGAATGTTAATTTTCCCTTCCTGCTGCTACATATTTCCCCAAGTTGTAAATTAGTTGGAATAATTTGATGTTTTTTGATCGAGATAGCAACCTTTACCTGATAAGTTTGGGTATTCTCATTACCTGTTTGCTGGTGAATATATGGATATTTTAGGGAAAAGTTGCATGTTAATCACTTCTGGGGGTTCAAGGAGTAATGAACTTTAAAACAAACTGGCAGATTGGATTAAAAAGACAAATAAATGGCACTTGCCATAATCCTATTTTGACAGTAAATTGACTGTGTGATTTTAAAACAAATGTGGTAAAGTCGCATTTAAACTTTGTGTAAAACAACTTGGTCTGAAATTAAAAAAAAATTGATTATGTTGATTGAAGAAGCAATTCAGCTTTTTGGTTAATGTTGCAGGAAAACGAAATCATGGGGAAGAAAAGGAAGAACCCAATAAACAGTTTCAGGTTTATACATATTATACATACAGGGTAAGTGTTATACAAAATTATTCACATTTGTCGCTTATCATTGGCTTATTGTTGGTTAACTTGAAGCTTCAATATTCCCACCACCTGGAAACTTATGGGCATTTGTCTCTTGTTCCTGGCTGGGGGGGGGGGGGGAATTTGAATCTTGCCAGGGTGGGGTTGGGAATTTAAACCATTGGAATACACAAGGAATTTAGAGGTGCAACATCCACTTGCATGAGTACATGGCACAAAAATTGTTCACATTGTAGAATGATGCTGAAAGGAGGGGTATGATTGGGCAGAAAATGACCTCCTTTAAAACTATATTTCTACCGAAAATACCCAGAATCCTTTTTTTTTTGCACAGATATTTTGATGACTTTTGTGACAGAAAAAAATTATTATTTAAATCCTCAGTCATACAGAGTCAGTATGCTGCAGAAGCTGAGGACTGTGACAGAGATACAACTGGGTAAGTTATTCACAGATATTCAGTATGTTGCCTTTTTATCATGGATTTTTACCTAATAAATATTATTATTATATATTAGACTTACTATAAAAACTAAGATTAGTCAAGAGAATCCAATTAATATTCAATAACCTGTGAAGTTGACCAGACAAATGCAATATCTGCAGCTGATTTTGCATTTATCATGTCAAGTTTAAAGTCTGCCTAGTTTCCAAGCCCCTCCTCCTTGAAGTGTTCACAAACTCAGAGTGTCATCTTTAGCAAATTGTTTGAAAAATGTATTATTGATAAAATAATTATTGAATTTTTCCTTTCCCCTCCCCCCCCCCTCCCCATCCCTGCAGTTAGAGGGGAGTGCTCTTCCTACTACTCCATTCCTTTTCCTTTTTTATATTTTTTTATTTTTCTTCCTTTGTGTTGAATTTGACTCCAATATTTATCATTTTCTCTCTTACCCTGTAGGAGTTTCTCTTGAGAAGATAGAGATTGATCCAGTACTACAACCAAAGTCAGCAAAGAAGTTTTGGGGGAAACAAAAATTTGTAAGGATTATAATCATAGTAAATGTAGCAAACACACCAGCAAATTTCAAAACGGTTACATGAACCATACAATTTATTCATAACCAGTGGTTTCTGAAACATGATTAAATAAAATTACACTACAGTCAACTACCGACAATAATAATTACGATCCCAAAGTGAAACATGAAATGGCAAAAGACAATGCAAAACATATCTGACAGTTTGGATAGAAGGAGTACACGAGATGCCGTAAAGAAACAATCATAGCACAACAAACTGGATAACATTACTGTTCTTTTGGTGCGAAAATTTCAATATATGTATACAGATGCCAGGGGACTGAAGCCTTATTTGCAGATAAACTGCTGGCCCTTAAATTTGTTGTGACAGTACACCTGTTCATAGTTGGAAAGAATATTTTTAGGATAGCTGCAAAAAAAAAACAAAAAAAAAAAAAGGCTTCCACAGTATTTTGTCAGTTCATTACCCAATACAATATCAAGCAGACAAGTGATGAGGATAAAGAAAAAAATTTCAATTAGGGGATTATTAGTTGATCCAGTGCCAAATTCTGTGAATTAACATCATAAGAATTGTATGGCAGACAGTAAGGAGAATTACTATTGAAATCATGAGAGCGAAAGGGTTAACTAACTCAAGTTCTCTCCCCAGGTAACTCTCTCCTTTTACTCTTTCCTTTTAATACTAACTTGTAAAACTATCTTTTCTTTTTTCTTAAGACTTCAATAGATATGGAAAATGTGGTTGCTTGTGACCCAGTTGAGGTGAAGAGTAATGGCAAATCGGTGTTCAGAATAGTTTACTTCAGTCAAAACGCACATGAGTTTAAACATTATGACTTTGAAACTGAGGCTGATGACGCAGGTGAGACATTTTCTGTCCTTTCTTTGCATAATTTTTCAGGAAAAATCTGTCACTGGTGTTTGAACAAAACACAAAATACTCACTATATTATGAACGTAGAAATGGTCCACAGGGAGTAAGTTTGTAAAGAAACTGTGGTGCTGTGTTATTGGAGGGTATTACAAAATAAATTAAAAATAAATATTTTTTTTTTTTTTTTTTGCAGGGGAAATAGTGGAACAGGTCAATCACATTATCAAGTCCAACATGAGTGGAAAAAGATCAGAATACTTGTCATCAAAAGAGAGAAAATCTGATAAAAGAAGATCCTTAAGATGAGAGCAATTTTAACATGAACTGCTAAAATTTACTCATACTATTAAATGATTGATAAAAGTTAAACCATATTTCCTTGAATAAACACCCATGCTCTAATAAGCGCCTACCCCCTCCCCCCAAGCAATAATGTCAAACAAGCACCCCCCCTTTACTTTCTTAAAGAGTAGGGATACAAGAAAAACCTGTTTCTATTGCCACTTCATATCATTTTTAACCTGCAGCAGATACAATACAGGAAAATAACAAGTGCCCTCTCTCCAATAAATGCCCCTCCTTTTAGCCAAAATTTTTAATAGGCCAGAAGTGCTTTTTCAAGGAAAGATGTTATTTAGTTAAATAATTCTCCTTGAATTAAATAAAAAAAAATATACATTAGTAGTTCATAGTGATTTCCACCAGGAATGTGTAAGACAGTTGTTTTATTATGGGCAGATAAAGGGAGAGTGTACATCAGCGTGCAATTTCTCCATACAGTTTGCTATATATTTCGTAAGGTGCTGACAAGGAGAATTTATTTCAGAATCAAGAGCTTCTTTAGTTGTTGATCATTTCCTTTATTCTCATGACCTTAAAGCTTGATTCAGGGGTGGTATTGTAAGGAGAAATTAGATGCGAGTCACTCTTAGTGTCAAAGGGTTAACCAGAGTCTTGGTTTTGTTTCCTTGTGCATTAACTTCATCATGTCCATGCTTTTCTTCCATGTTATTTGTTTCATTCCCCTGTGTACTGTGGTGTTCTTTTCTCTTTGAATGCTTTCAGACCTTCAAGTCTGTCTTTGGTTGGTATAACCTGATGGATGAAGAGTTACAAGTTTTACTAATGACGTAGTTCTACATTCTATCAAAATAGCATAACATTTTAATTAATATTTCCCACACTCTCTACATGTATCTTTATGGCCCTGTTTGTAGTTAAAGTGTACAACTAGTAGGGTATATAAAAAATATTGGTTTAAATTCTGTCAAAACCTGAATTTTTTTAAAGTCTTCTCTGCAATTTCTTTAAGCACACCTTTAGGGATCAGTTCTTTTCTTCTAACATTCACAAATTGATCATGCAGTCTGATCATCAGGTTTAGTTAGCCCTGACAAGGACTGTAAGTTGTCTCACAGTCACTAACATTTCCACAACTCAAGTAGAAGTCATTAATCAGACTCAAGTGAGGAGAGATTTGTCAGTAAAGGTTTAAGTTATAACTCTGTTATGAACAGCTGTTAGTCACTCAAGTGCTTAAGCCTCCTTACTTAACCCTTAAACTACCCTTAAGTGACCGAAACAGAATTTCTCTTTAAAATATCAATACAATGTCAAGTAGACAAGTGATGAGAATAAAGAAAAATATCAATTAGGGGATCATTAATTGATCTAATAACAAAATCTCTGAACTAACATCATAAGAGTTATATGTCAGACAGTAAGGAGAATTACTAATTAGATCTTGGGAGTGAAAAGGTTAATTGCCAAAAGTACTCCTTGGTTCAACTGTATAATATTCATCAATTTTAAGAGACACATATAAATATTTGCACACATACCTGAGCATAACAACCTTCTTCAAATGACATGGAAGATGTGAGGTCAACCTGGGAACAAAACCATAATTATAACTGTAACATTTACAACTTCTTCAACTATGAGAGTGCACTTAATCCTTTATCTCCCAGAAGTGATCAACATGAAACTTCTCCCCATAATATCCTTATATCACCCAGCAAACAGGTAATGAGAATATTCAAACTTACCATTTAGAAGTTGTTACCTTGATCTCACACCAGATTCTCATAACTAATTTACAAGGACATGTGTAGCAGGTAGAGGGGAGAATTTACAACCAGATCCTGGGAGTTAAAGGGTTAATGGTTTCAGATCAGTGTGCATATTCTCCACAATATTCTCTGTATATTTCCTCTGGTACTGACAAGGAGAATTTGTTTAACAATCAAGAACTCATTTTGTAGGCAATCATTTCAGGACCTTAATATTTGATTCAGCAATTAAACACTGTAAAGAGAAAATGGCAGCTAGTCACTGTCAACTAAAGAATTAACCCTTTAACTCCCAAGATCTGATTGTTAATTCTCTCATCTTGCTGCTACACAATTTCTTGTAAATTAGTGATGAGAATTTGGTGTAAGATCAGGATAAAAGCTTCTTACTGATAAGTTTTAGTATTCTCATCAACAGTTGCTAGAATATGTATGGATATCATAGGGAAAGGTTACATGTTAGTCATCTCTGGGAGTTTAAGGGTTAAAGGGTTAACTACCTTGTAAAGGGTGTCATGATGATACAAAAACACTAGGTACTTAAAATTTGTTTGCTTATTTTATTCTAGTCAGACTTGTCTGTAGATGTATTTAGAAACCTTAAATGTGATCATCAGATTTGATTCCTAGGAGTCAAAAAAGGGAAACCAACTACTCCATGATCATCAGCTGCTTGGACTTAACCAGAACGTCAGTATGCATATTCTCCATGCTGTTCTCTGTACATTTCCTAAGGTTCTGACAAGGAGAATTTGTTTAACAATCAAGAGCTTCTTTAGTTGAGGATCATTTCCTCTATTGTCATGACCTTAAAGTTTATTCTCCTCACCTGAATGTTTGACTTTTGATATTGTAAGGAGAAATTAGATGTTAGTCACTCTTAGGGATTAAAATACAAAGGACTTACTTGAATTCCCTTGTTAATTGCTAGTTTGGCCATTCTCACAGCAACAGGTCCTCGGGGAAGAAATTCTTCAGCTAGAACAAGGGCTCTCTGATATGCTGCATCACCGGTTTCAGTTTGTTCTGCAACATAATCAGCTAAACCTATTTCTTCAGCTTCTGTGCCACTGATCATTTTGCCTGCAAAAATCATCTCCTTGGCTTTTGAGATGCCTATTAACCTTGGTAGACGTTGAGTCCCTCCTAAACAAAATAGTGGAAACCCACAGGCTGTCAGATCATTGTGCAACTGACTCTGTGAATTGTGATCAAAGCCTGTTGCTTTGCAACCATCATGCTGGCAAAATAATTATACAGCTTCCTACTTAGTTCAGATCATACATACACTTTCTAATAATGTACATGAATAAATTATGCACGTCTGATTGGCTGAAAACAAATAGCATGTGCACGCTGCCAAAATTTTGTCCATCTTGAATTTCTGTGATGTGTTTTTCATGTAAATTATTAACAAGTAACAACATGATTTCTAATGCAATTTGGTGTAAATAGCACTTGTGAATATTTTAAAGACTACAAATTGCACTTGCATGCAATTCTATTGTCTTTTAAGAACTTTCCTCGTGCTCACGAACACTAAACTACACTCGAAATCATATTGTTACCTACAATTATGACAACCTTGAGAAAGCTCTGAGATGTCACTCATTTCAGACATCCAGGCCAAAATTCTAATAGCTGACTGGCATCAAGACATCCTGAGTTCTTTGTTGACAGAACCCCTTCTGAATATAACCTTATGTTACTTCCTGTTGTAGTGAAGAGTAGCCTATCAAATGCTATAAGGAGGGGTGGGGAGGGTAAGGCAGCTTGTGATAGCATATGGGGTGGTGGGTTAGAAAGTTTGTGATGACCTATGATCAGCATCAAAGACTATTTGACAAATCATATTTGAAGAATCCTTATAGTTATGTGTAGAATAACACTCCTGTCTTTACCACTGATACCTTTAGATCATTGACAAGACCCCCCTTCCACAGTCAATGTTGCCTGTATGTATCTTCAGGTTAATAGAATCACAATAACATCATGAAACATTTCTTTTTCGGAGGGAAGGAGCAAATAGGTTAACTGAACAAAGGCAAAAGAGATAAAATGGAAGTAATAGGGGGTTGGAAAGGTCAATGTGTCATCAATTTTTTCATGGAGTGTAGCATTACATCCAGAGATGGTGAAATTCCTAGCCTCCAAGGATAAGAGGCAATAAACCATACAAAGCTAAGCTCTTGAAAAGTTTACCTGCACCAGGAATAATTGCCAAACGTGTTTCTGTCAGCCCCACTTTAGCATTACTAGCAGCAATCCTAAAGTCACATGACAGGGCCATTTCAAGCCCACCACCTAGGGCATGGCCATCAAGAGCAGCAATTGTAGGCATTGGTAGGTTGTTTAGTTCCATTATTGCTGCACGAGCCATGGATACAAATGGTCCAACCTCATGTGCTGCCATTTTAGCTCTCTCTTTGAGATCAGCTCCTGCACAGAAAATACCTAGGAGTGATGAAAAAAAAAATCTTGAGTGTTACCCTAGCTATGAATGAAAAAAAAGGTCAAGAAATCAAAAACAAGCATGAAATTTTTTAGGCCTAAAATTAGTTTTTGAAGTGCTGGTATAGGGAATCACCATATTGTGTCCTCATTCAACACAGTCTTTCTCCAATCACAGGGATTAATAGTGCTCCTCGCAAATTGCCAAGAAAACTTGACAAACTGCTGGAGGTTGCTAGAGATAATCAGGCATCCCTTTTGGAGGAGGCAGCAAATTTACCCATATGAAAATAACTATGAGTTCTCCTTGGCCTACCTACAGCTGCTCTCTATCCATGCAAAAATCAAGAGGGAACTCCTCAATTTATTAAGGGGAGGAGACTACTGTTCACAGCCAGGCTACTTCTTTCTAACTTGGAGGGCCACCTAGCCTTGAAAACTGAATTTCTTTTACACCTTCACTGATACTTTACCTGATATATCACAACTGAATTTATACCTTGCACATCACTCTTGATGATGACAGTTCTAACATTCTTGTCAAACTTCACACAAGTAAGGGCATCTGTAAACTAAATAACAAGAAGCTGACCTGTTGAATGCTTCTCTGTACAAAAAAAGATCATAAGATCAAGTGAACAGTTATGACTAAGATGCTAGGTGCATCTCTCTTTGTTGAAAAGTATGTTAGGATGAGATTATGCTCACACCATAATATCAATTCAAATATGTGCATATTTTTGAGAAAGTTGTAACATATTAATTGAAAGCAATGAGAGATTTTTCTGTGCTCAATGAAGAATTTTCCAAAGGCGTATAAACCTAAGACCTTGTAAAGGGCTGGCATATAACTGTCTTCAATTCACCTGTACCCTCTCTGTTACTGTTTAGATGAAGCTATCTTAATGCAGGGAAAGGCTTTCATTGCTTCAACATTATTCTTAAAGAAAGAAATAACTGGAGGTGATAAGTGCAACAGAATGATTCACAAGTGGTGATCGCAAAGCAGCCATTAGGACTGCCATAGGAAAGATGTATAAAATGTAATGTGTGAGCAATTTCAATTCCTTTTCTCCTTGATCCCCTAAACCCTAAGAGTGACCAGCATCTCATTTCTCCTTACATTAATACTGTTAAATCACACATTACCATCATGAGAATAAAAGGAAATGATCACCAAACTAAGAAGCTCTATTGATTGTTAGACAAATTCTCCTTGTCAGTACCAAAGGAAATGTACAGAGAGGTGCATGGAGAATATAGATACTGATGTTTAGGGAAAAAAGAGTAGAGCTGCTGAAAGTCAGTGACCCCTTAAATCGGCAAAAAGGGATGGAATGGCCCCTACTTTAACTGATATGCATAACAAACTTGATGGGACTCTCACCAGTCTTAGGAAATTCTTGCTCATGGCATTTTTTGCTTCTGGTCTGTTCATTACAAACAAGGCAATTCCTACAAGGAGACAATTTACCATCATTTTGAAAGTATTTCAGTTCAACTCATCATAAAAACCAGGCAAGATTTCCACACAGACCCATTCATGCTGGTCTTGGATAAAGAGAACATTACATTGCCTTTGGGACTACAGCTTTGTTTTAGAATATTCAACAATTATGCAAAGAAGTGGAGGTGTATAAGGTCAATCCACCTTTCACAAACACGAGGGTGAATACTATTTTTCAGTATATGTCGCGCAGAAACCAAAAAAAAGTGTTTGTTCCCTTAAATTTACCAAAAATGATGGGAAATTAAATTGTTGATGCGCGATTTTGTCTCTTCGGCTACTAAGAAAAGAGTAATACTCCCTAATCACTTACGGATCTGTCCAATCAGCGTATGCGAAAAAGCACTTTTCACTTGTGTAGTATATCCTAATATGCGATCTATTGCTTTTATAAATTAAACTTCAGTTTTTCATGGATTCACCGGTGCAACAAATTTTAGATTCTTGGCCAATCAGGGGGCTCGTAGTATCCCGTAGTTATTTTATAACGAAAAATCTTTCCGCCTTTACCTTCGTGTTTACCATCTAAATACCGAAGGCTGAATTCTTCTGCCGCTGATGTCGCACTTTCTGTACTGTACTTGGAACTGTTTGGCAAACAAAACTTTCTGCAGGCAGCGATCTTACTCCAATCATGGATTACAGAAAAAATTCCAGCATTTTTACTTCTTAGAAATATTTTCCACATCGCCGCCATTTTGGTTTTCATGCTGATATCTTCGTCATGTAATTATCATCTTGTACCCGCCCCCTACCCGCCTCTTCCAATCCTTGGGACTGAGCGCGGCCATCGATTATTGTAAAATGTTACCTTAGCAACGGTAAGACTTGACCGAGACACCTTTACGGGTTGTCTTTAGTGTGTTCTATGCTTTCAGTCTCCGCAATAATAAAATTTTATTTTGATTTATAAGACGCTCAGCGTTGGATAAAAATTACTTGACAAACCGGACTAATCCAGATTATTTGATCAGTTATTAAGGTGGCTCTGATTCTCATCTTAAAGTTGTAAGAGTTTTTCAGCATTCTACCAGTTTCTTCGCCATTTTCAAACGCAGAGAGCAAAGTTAACTGACGAAAAATTGGTGTGATCTATTTCATCATCCCCAGACTCTATTTGGTACGCCTAACTCGACCACAGCTGTCAATTTTCTGGCAATAAATCAGGAATGTTAAGGGTCAACTTATAATCCACCTCTAATTATCATTGATGCCTTGAACTTCATCTCAAATGGAGCTGTGGTTTCGATTATCATATAACCATAACATTGCGTGACTCATGAGCGTTGTAAGGGAGAAGGGGTTTCATACTTCAACCACGCCCATGCGTGACAACCTCTTCATAAAATCATTCCATACGATAAAGGTCGCGGCCTTAATTTTTGGTTTTCATGTATTTTTCTTTTAGCGTATCTGTTAGACAGCCATTCATCGATAGATGGATGTCTGTTTTTACAGGGCTAGAAAATAAACAACAATGTTTGTTCGATGACGATTTGGGAATTTGCTTTTATGACTTGCACACGTAATTCTAAGCGGGTGGAATTTATTGCCGCTTACTTTTTCTATGGAAAACGCGAACACATAAAAATAAAACTCTTTTAGATTGCAAAATGAATGAGGTTTTGAAAAAACCTGTGGATTTTAATTTCTTTTCAAATGTGTTCCCTTTCAGAACAGCAAACCAAGCGGGGTTTCAGAAACAATGACATTTAGATAATGAAGCTTCTCAGTTTGATTGCTCGACAAGACGTATTAACATAACACAGAGAGACTTTGAGAAATGGAGTTTAGTACAAGAGGTTGAAGAAGTTGTTTTAAAGATTTATTTACGTAAAATATTGCTTTATTTCGGCGCTGAGCGCTTCATACCATTTAAATGACTATCCTCTTAACTAGGTTTGTAAATTTGTAAACAGACAATTGTTGCAAGTTTTATTTTGTTTACGTTGTTTGTATGGAACAACTAATTACCTTTAAGTGATAAACAACCAATTGGAAGATCGGCTATTACGCACAACAGTCAGCTGTTATCTCGAATTTCTAACAAAATCATTGAAAGATCAAAATGTTAACAAACATTACGTGACATAGAAGTTTTTGCACTTGCTCGACTTGTCTGTGTGTGGCAACTGCTTTAAAATCTAGTTTACTATGGAAGACTTGGAAATCCGCCTCGCTTCTGTAGCTGACTACGATGCCGTAGTCGAGCTCTCCCGTGCAACTTACGAGGATAAAGCAGACGAAGATCACGACTATATTCCCAACAGATTTCACGGTTGGCTTTCGGAACGCAAACGAGCTGTCTTCGTCGCAGAAATGGATGAAAAAATCGTTGGACTACGGAGTTATGTGGTTGTCAATGGTGACCAAAGCTCTGCATGCGATGTAGAAAAACTTCACCCTAAATTCCGAAAACAAGGGCTTCAAATTAAAATGATCGAGGCGAACCGAGAGTATATCCGTAAAAACTACCCGAATGTGACCCGAGAGCTCTTCTACGCGCCGAAGAAGTTCTACACCCAGCGACAAGAGCTGTTCGCTGATCAAGTTCTTTTCAAGCAAGACATAATTGCCTATCATATCGACCTGGAAAATCTCGATGTGGAGAGGCTCAACGAAGTTGCTACCCGCCTTGCACTAGAGGTCAGACCTTGTACAAGGGAAGAATTTGTAGAAGAGATCTTATCGATTGCGTTTAAGATTTTTCCGAGCGAGGTATTCACCCTAGACGGAATGGCGTTAGAGGCTTCGCGAGCCAACACAGGCGCAATGGTCAGAGACGGAGATAGATTTTTGGTCGATCACAATGAGGATGATTCTGAGCCTTTCAAGTCCTACAGTCACGGAAGGATTTCACCGAGAAATAAGTCGCTCCATTGGGAATGCTGTGTCTACACCAGGAGTCACTTCCTGTTTCAAGTGCATCTATTGGGGCAAGTCAGATGCGCAAGCGAGGTTCTGGCCGACCACAAGAACACCGTGATAGTGATTCATTTCCTATCCGATAGCCGGCTGGTTTCTTACGGCAGGAAACTCCTAGAGGGTCTCTTAGGCTTCAAGCCCTGTGATCGACTCAACATGAAACAGGAGTACGTGCACAAGGAATCACTGGGATAAAGCGCATGTCCACCTTGTCAAATTCCAGTCCACATGAGATCTATGACGCTTGTTTTGAAAATTAATTTTCCTTTGATATTGAAAAGACACGTTATTTTGCTAGATTTACGATTATAGCCAGTGTAATTCGAACATCCAGCTTGTCAAAGTCCAGTCCACCCTAGAATTATGACTTCTGTTTTAAAAATAATTTAATACATTGTTTCGTTTCCCTAGACTAATTGCGTTTTGAGTTTTAGCATCGCCATATCGCCGATTAATCAGTTTTAATATTACGTCCACGAAGAATCACTGGAGTAATCTGAATGTCCTGCTTGTCAAAGTCCAGTCCACTAAGGAGTTGTGACATTTGAGCTTAAAAATAATTTTTCTTCAAAATGGAAATAAGTCATTGTTTTGCTCCCCTTGATCGATGATTACCACCTTTGCGTTTCAGTATTGCCTTTGGGAACAGGGAGTTACGTTTCAAAGCACCGTCGAGGTGATTTTCATGCCACAGAAGGAATAAAATTTAACAATTTATTGCAATTTCAATTCACGAAACAGTTCATTTTAGAGAGCTGAATAAAATAATGTAAGGGTCTCAAAAGAGTCATGAAACCAACTGGATAACTCCATCTTTTTGTTTTTGAAGAAATATGTAATTAATTTGCAGCAAATAGGAATGAAGATTAATTAATAAAAAACAATTAAATTTTCTCTTAGTTTACCCTTTAACTCAAACGAATGACCAAGACGGAATTTCTCCTTACAACGTCGATGCAATATAAAGCAGACAAATGATGAGAATAAAGAACAACACCAATGAGGGAATTATTGGTCGATCCAATACCAAATTCTCTAAGGTAACATCATAAGAATTGTATGGCAAAAAGTAAGGGGAATTATTTATTAGATCTTAGGGGTGGAATGGTTAATATACGCGTGGCTTACCTTAGCACAAAGGAACACGTACATACAGTGAACTGTGTTCAATGTTCCTTGAAGCGAAACCAAGAGCAATTTTGAAGGTCGTGGGAAACTAAACCTTAATGTTTCCCGTGTGGCCATTATCAACTATAAGAACAGTGCCGTAGCAGGGTTAAAATTATTGGGGGGGCCTAACCTTCATTTTTACTGTTCTACTCTTGTGTTCAATATATATTTTTTGGAGTTTGCCAAATTACGCTACGGCATTGAAGAAAAAGAAAACGGTTGCATACAAATTTGCCGCAATTGAAAGGTATACGATCTGATCACGTGTGAGTTGGAGCCCCTAATGGGCTCCTGGTGTGAGTCGAACACTCGAGTTGTTAAAGTTCACACGGCAACCAGGTGGACAACCATACATAGTTTGATGCTACACTGGTTTGCAGATTTTAATGAATGTAACCGAAGAAGTTACAATTCATAGACCCAACGTTTCGACACTCCTGTCTAGTGCCTTCATCAGGGGTGATCTAAACGCTGCAACAAGAGGTCCTTTTATATGATCACTAATTAGCGGCCTTTTTTCTGACGAGGTGTAAATAGGCGTCAGGAAGCAGACCGCCATCGTCACGATTTAAAGGAGCGTGGGCGGAGTTAATGTACCAAGCCTCCAAACAAAGGCGCTGGTGGTAACATGGTAATTCGTTGTTCTTTCGTGACAGGATCCTTAGGTTTGGCGAAAATATGCCCCAAAGTCTGAAAAGGTTTTTGAGCAACTTTAACGTTGTGGCTATTCAAAATTCTCTTGATGGGTTCAGTAACACCCTGTATGTAAGGAATAACAGCAAAACCAGTCGCTGGTTCCCTTTCATCAAGAGCGTTACTATTTTTTTATTCATTAAATCTGCAAACCAGTGTAGCATCAAACTATGTCTACTCGAGTTGTTGTTCCTACGAGAGTTAGAAGGGACTGGTCATTATTATCACGTGGGGTGAGGGGTGGCAGTGTTTTTGGTTGTGTCACCATAAAATTTTCCTGATCCCCCCAAAAGACTCTGAAGGATTTTTATAATTTCCCTTATTGGCGTTAAATTTGCTATAGTCCCCTTTTATCCTCTATTGGCGACGACTGATCCCCTCTAATCTCATACCCAGGTCCTACCGTGTAACTGTAACTGTAACTTAGCCGTGAAAGACTACTCCCCTCCACTCTCCCAAAACTCCTCTACTAGCCCCTCCTCATGCGATAAATAATGACCGGTCCCATGGGGAGTTCGTGAGAGTTGGAAGCATGGCACGTGACAAAAGCCCCTCCAGTCGGAAAACGTGTTGTAGAATGACGAACCCACGCGCGCCAATCATGCGAGACGAGGAGTACTGGGGAATACTGGATCTGTAGCTTATGATATTTCATTCTGAGGGAATCGCCTTACGTGCATGTGAAGTGTGATCTTGTGGAAGGAAGCTATAGATTATGGAGCACTCTGCAGAAACGGTTGGCCACGATCCTTGCTCGTTTTCCAGACCAAACCAATGTCTGTGCACAAACATCAGCTGGTTCGTCGATGTCTTGATTGATAAAAAGATCCTCGAATGTCGCGTTCAGCTCGAATTCGAAGTGAAAAAGGATGGAGTAAAAAAAATGGTGAGTTTCGATTTCATTTTCATTCGCGTGAACATTATAAAATGAAGTTAAGGAGGCACGAGATTTAGTTAAATACAGATGAACTCGAGAACCTTTCAATATTTTTGGTAAACTATGAATTCTCAACTGATCGGCTCCAAAGCTTTATAGCCAGGTTACCAAAACATGCACCAGATTAAGGCGTACATTGCAAACGTTAATTTTTTAGACGGAAGTAATTAGTTTGGAAAGCTCTTCGCGCAAATTATGTGATCATGTCTGGGTTCTCCATCTTTAGATTGGCAAAACAGACTGCAATGCAGAGTGTTGCTTCTAGGTGTTTGCAGTTCTCAACACTTGGATTCTGAATCCCTGAGGCGATCTATTTATCAAATGGTTTTTAATCAGTAGGGCGTTTCCGTTGAGGCCAGCCTCACCCAGTTCGCTTTGTTATCTTGTCTAAACATTTTTAATTATTTCGTTTCCCGCTTTATCTTAAAATGCAATTGTCTGCATATCCAGCGATGCTGGTTTCTTCATGACGCAGCAGTCATGACGCATCAGTCATGTAAAAAGACGTTAAGCTGCAAATATTAACTGTCTGCCAATATTCAGGACTTGAGTGGCCAGAGTGATTCAATTTTGATATTAGCTACTGGAGGAGTCGGCATACAAACTAAAAGTTTACATAGTCTGTAGTTTTGTGATATGTGCATGAATTAATCAACTTAGCCAGTTGCAAATTACAGCTTGTAGAGTTACTATTCTTACAAACTAGTAAGAGCTTACAAAGTTACAAGCATGTACATTAACGCAAAATGCTATTGCCTGACTAAGATAAGCTGATTACAAAGAACTGTCATTCAGAGACTGCATGCAGTTAATTATTTATTTATATTGAAGAAAAAAATTAAAATTACTCATCCTTGCTCCACTGTTTTGTCCATATCAACTGTGCTCATGGATATCATTTTATGCACACTATTGTTACCCCATAGGTGCCAACTCCACTGAGAAATCCGGTGCCAACGCAAATGAATTTTTTATTATTTCTCAAAAATTTAACTTGTTTTGAGTTTATTTTAAATCTCCAGTACCAAAGATTTGATTGTTACTCTCTATCTTTTGACATACTGAGTTTGTGACATATGCACACACTATGCCATTTGTGTGGCATACTCAGTGCGTCACACAGCTAGTTAAGGGATAAATTCTTGATTTGTACTGCTGTCCAACTACTTCAAACCCTTTCAGTGTGTTAATGTTCCAACAAGAAATCACTCACTGGTGATTTACAGGAATGAAAGGTTAAACCCTTTCACTTCTGTGATCTCATCAGTAATTCTCCTTACAGTCAGCCATACGATTCTTATGATGTTACTGTAGAGAATTTGGTGTATGATCAACTAATAATCAGGTGATTGATATTTTTCCACATTCTCATCACTCATCTGCTTGACATTGTATTGATAATGTAAGGAGAAATGCTGTACTGGTCACACAAAGGGTTAAAGAGACAAGGGCTTTCAAATAGTTTTAGTTTACAAACATCTACAGTGTTGCTAGTCCAGAACTCAGTGCTATGAGTCTGAGGAAACTCCTTGATGAGTAATAGTAAAATATTCAATAATAATAAAATTCTTTTATTAAGGTTCTTGATACCCGAGACTTGACAGTTCACAGTGTTACAGATGGTAATGGAGAGAGCCTGAGTTTCAGCTATGGCAAGAAGCATAAGGCATTTGGAACACCACTCAACATTGACCTTCCTGATGGTTTAAAAAGGTAAATATAACTCAGACAAGAATAATTTTAATTTTTTAGTTTGTACTCAAGCTGAGTGTTCCCCCCAGCCAGAGATTTTTCTTAGTTTCCTGTTCAAGAGATATAAGAGTATTACTTCTCCCCTCCTCTCCCCCCTTTGGATGGGATGTCAGTCCATTGGAAAGTTACCCCCAGCATTTCTTGAGGCTTCCCTGACAATTTGCTGTTATCTATCTATACTCCTGGGTGGAAAGAGGCACTGTGATAGTAAAGTGTTGCCAAAGAACACAACAGAATGACCAATGATCCAGGCAATCCAGGCAGGTCTTTAAACCAGAGTGCAGTGCACTAAAAATTAGGTCACCACATTTGCTATAATTGTTATTGACTAAATATTTATTCTTAAAACATTTGTTTAAAAATATCAATAAGTTTTTCAAGTTTTTTTTTTTTCATTTTAATAGTGGTTCCAAGCTATATCTCAAGATTAGTTATCAGACCTCTGAGACTGCCTCAGCTTCTCAATTCCTTACCCCTGAACAGACTGCTGGGAAGAAGTATCCTTATTTTTTCACCCAGTGTCAGGTAAATTAAAAATTTATTTCTCTGATCGAAACATTCAATTATTTACGCTTACCAAGCTAGTTCTTGGGTGAAAAAATAAAACCACTTAGGCCTCTTTTACTAACCTTATCACACTAACATTATATTCTCCATACATTTAGTATACATTTCCCTAAGGTGCTGACAAAGAGAACTTGTGTAACAATATGAAGAGCTTCTTTGGTTGGAGATCATTTCCTTTATTCTCATTCCCTTAATGTGTGATTCAGGGGAATAATGTAGAGAGAAATTACATGATAATCACTCCTAGTGGTCAAGGGGTTAAGAATGGGGTTAAGAACGGGGTTAAGAATGGGGTTAAGAACGGGGTTAAGAACGGGGTTAAGAACGGGGTTAAGAACGGGGTTAAGAATGGGGTTAAGAACGGGGTTAAGAACAGGGTTAAGAATTCATGTTATGAGCCAAATAAAGTTGAATAAAGGGAGTAAGTTTCTAAAGAAACTGTAGTGCTGCGTCGGTGGGAGAGTATAACAGGTAATTTAGTGTTAACAACTGAGTTGAAAATGTAAATTGGCCACTGTAAAGAGTTAATAGGCTGTCATTTTGAGCATTAGCCCTTTGTCAGAGCAATTGGAGAAATTGTGGGTTGTGTGTGGGTTAATTTATATGCTGAAAATGGAGCTACACTACACTACCTCTGCATATAAACCCACGCACAAGCTACAATTCTTCCAATCACTCTGACGAAGGGCTAATGCTTGAAACATCAGCCTTTTATCTCTTTATGGTGGCCAATTTATGTTTTCAACTTAGTTAACACTGAATTACCTGCTAAAAAAAAGTTGAGTTTGGAGCTCTGAACCACATTACCATTTAGACTGACAAGTATTTATATTTATTTCCCTTAGGCTATCCATGCTCGCAGTCTTATTCCATGCCAAGACACACCTTGTGTAAAAACACCTTACCAAGCAGAGGTATCATGAAATAACTTATTATATGATAGGCTGAACTGATTGCACATACATTTTAATTGTTTCTTACTTATGATCTGTTGGAGGGTAGATGCAAAGATGATGCCACCCATAACAACTTCTTACCTCTTAGTTACCCCTTTAACTCCCAAGATCTCATTTGTAATTCTCCTAACTGTCTGCTATACTGTTCTTGTGATGTTAGTTTGGAGAATTTGGTATTGGATCAACTTGTAATCCCCTAACTGATATTTTTCTTTGTTCTCATCACTTGTCTACTTGATATTGTATTGATATTGTTCGGAGAAATTCTGTCTTGGTCATGTGTGGTAATAAAAGGGTTAAAACAAACAGATTCTCTATTGCCATGAGTCTGTTCAGTAATAGACCACAGAAGATGTTGAAATGTGGCAGGAAGATTAGTGACACATATGACTCATTTTTTTGTTCTAAATTATTATACATTTTAAGGTCATCTGTGATCTATTACTAAACAGATGCACAGCAGCATGAAATTTATTTTAATAAATAAGACATTTGCCATACACATACATCATGTAGGTTTAGTCAATGCAGTTTGATGAAGGCCTAGTAAAGAAATATGTTCCTCAACTAGGTTACTGTACCCAAAGAGCTTGTTGCTGTCATGAGTGCTAAGGGAACAGGAAGTCGTGATGATCCCCAAAATCCTGAAAAGAAAATTTACACTTTCACTCAGAAGGTAAAAGTTTCTATTTTTACTTTTTATTAATTAAGAAATATTCTTATGTTACACATTGTGACTTCCAAAAATAGTAGTGAACATATCCTTCACACTATTCTTTTTTTTTTTTTTATGTAATAAACATTTATTAAAGAAACATTTGTACAGAACTAAACTTACATTACTCACATTACTTGACATCACTCTACTGTACTTATTGGATTAGACACTAGTACTTATTTCTTACTTATACTAACAGACACTTACTAACAGTCACTTATATTACAGCATAATGTTACCTACATATAACACTACTAAACTGAACACAAATTACAATACACTACAATACAAAACTTGCACTTCGCTAATTAGGCAATAGTGAAATTGATAATATTATCATCTACACATGTACACATACCTATACACAACAAACAAACCATAAAGATTTTGAGAGTGTTCATCCTCATGCTCCTGTTCGGTTTTCACCCCATTTTCTGTACAGTTCATCTTTAGGAATTTCATGTTTCCTTTATATATGTTTTCTAGATCTTCCAGGCCATTTATTTTATTGGCCTACCTTCTGGTGAAGTCTTCATGTAGATCCTGCCATCTAGGGTCCAAACACTCAGCAAAACCCCATCTCACTTCTCATTTTAATTAATTAAGAATGATTCTTATGTTGCACATTGTGACTTCCAAAAATAGTGGTGAATATATTCTTCACAATTTTCTCCTTACTTTTCTTACTGTGCTTACAGGGAGAATTTGTTTGATAATCAGTAGTTTCTTAAATCGGTGATCATTTCTTTATTAATGTGTCCTTAATATTTGAGTCAAGGGTGATACTGTGGAGAGAATTTGGAAGCCAGTCACTCTATGGAGTTAAACGGTTAAAATAATCTCTGAGAGGGGTCTAAAACATATTAATTATTTTATGTCCAAGAAGAGAAACTTTATTACTATTTTATCTCTTTGAAGGGCATTGAGGGAATAAGAACTGAAAAAATTATAACAAAAAAGTCTGAACAATCACACAAGCATGCTAGCCTTGTAGCAGACATTATAAAGCTTGTCACATCACACAATCATCAAGTGATAATTGAGGAATGATTGCCTGGTGTGACGAGCCTAACAAGGTCAGTGTAGGAGGCTGACAAGCTTTCAATTTAAAATACATTTAAGCCTGCAAAGTGGGCCACAATGCCCAACAGAGTTATTATTAGTAACAACCACTTACTTTCATCCTTAGGTGACTATTCCTAGTTACCTGATCACTATTGCAGTTGGAGCCTTAGTTAGCCAGTAAGTCACATAAGAAAAAACTTGTCAACAAAAAAAAAACAACAACTTACAATAATCTTTTATTATCATCATTTTTTAAAATTGTAATAGTCTTTGATTGACAAGCAGCTGAGAGTGGCCTCTTGTTATCTGCGATAATGGGGAAATCTGAGTTCATTTCACCAAAGTCTACAGGAATTAATTTTCCTGGCTAGATTTCCAAGTGTGTTGATTAAATTATTTACCCTAGATCTCAGTTAGCAAGTAAGTCAGATAAGAAGAAAAATTGAAACAACAGCTAATTAAAAACAATATCAATCTTGTTGTTAATCACTTCTGGAAGTTAAAGGGTTACATGTAACAGTTTTTTTTTTATTTTGACTTTGAATTACTTTTCTGGTAGCTCTTCCAGAAAGCATGGAACCTCATTCCATAGTTTAGCACCATGCAATTCTCAAAAAGGTTTTTTTTTTCTATTTTAAGTTTTGAGGGTTTTATATAAAATGATCAAAGATAGAAGAACATGTGTTACACAAGAATTATCCCTCCTGTCATGCTGAAGCCATCTGAAAAGATTGGTGCTGCAGTTTCTAAACTTATGAGTGATGGTTTTTTACTTGGACTTGAATAACTTAATAATACTCAGTCAATTTTTAGGGAGGTGGGGCCTCGCTCCAGGGTATGGACTGAGAAGGAGATGTTAGAAGTGAGTGCTTGGGAGTTTGCAGAGGTAAGATGTGAATAAAGGAGTTGAGTGTCCAACATAAGCAATTTGTTAATAGGCCATTTTACAGTTGTGTACTTAGTTGCCAAGCCTTTGATTTGGAGTGAGGCTGAAGGTGACCTTGTTGTGTTAGAGACCAGAATCTAGTTAGCATGATAACAAATTAATTTGCATTTCAAAAGCAGCAAGGTTTGTATCATAACAAGGTCACCCTCAGCCTCACTCCTGTTCAAAGGCTTGGCAACCAAGCACACAACTGTAAAATGGACTATTGGTTTTATTATGTGAACCATCCACCCCACAAGTGCAGTCCTATAAGACCATTGTGAAAGTTGATGTTTTTTTAAGGCCAGATTGGTTGACATGAGCCAGTCAGGAAAAAGCTGTCCCTGGTGCACTTGTGCTGCTTTGTTGCAAAAAAAAAATAAAAACATTGTTCACTTTTTGTTGCAAAAAAAGAGTGACAGAGGTTAACAAAGCCTTTACATTGTATGTTATATCAGTATGCATATTCTCTATACTGTTCTCCATACATTTCCTAAGGTGCTGACAAGGAGAATTTGGTTAACAGTCAGGAGTTAATCCTTTATTCTAGTGACCATAATGGGTGATTCAGGGATGATGTTGTTGTGAGAAGTTAGATGCTACTTTCACTTATGGATCAAATATTTTTGCCTGCTAAGTTTTTAGAGACAAAGTATTTTTAGTGAATAATTTTCAAAGACAACAATCTATGTTATCTAGAGTGACTTCTAAATCATATAGCTGGTATAAATTGTTACCTATATGTTTTGCTTTTAAGCTGTTTTGTCTGATTCTTGGATTTCTCATATTGGCAGGTCGAGGAACAGCTCTCAATTGCTGAGGATCTGACATTTGACTATGTTTGGGGACCCTATGACCTCCTGATTCTGCCTCCTTCCTTTCCATATGGTGGAATGGAAAATCCTTGTCTGACATTTGTGACACCAACACTGCTGGTTGGACCAGGGGTGGGTACTGACATCCAATAAACACAGATATGGAAGTTAAGGGGGCTGTGGAAGTCATACAAAAATTTCAAAAGTTACTTTCCTGAAATGGAAGAGCCATTTTTTAAAAAAAGAAACTAATTGTATCTGTTGCATGGGCATTGTGGATCACAACACAATTTTTTTATTATTTTTTAGGGAGGCAGACCTTTGACTGATGTAAGTAATAGCTAATTTGTCCTAATATTTTACTGTAGTTTTACTTCTCCCTGAAACAATGATGACCATGAATGAAATGCTTGACAAGGGTAAATGATAGAGAACAGATTAGTGTTTTTTATCCCTAGCCCCATGTCTAGTGTCTTACCTGTTGTTATTTCACATCGAAACACCTGTTCATCCTCTCCTCCCTAATTCCCTCTCTCTTTCTTTTCCCTCCATCTCTCTCCCCTCCCTCTCTTCCTCCCCATTCCCCCTCTCTCCCCTCCCTCTCTTCCTCCCCATTCCCCCTTCCCTTTTTCCCTCTTCCCTCATCCTTTCCTTTCTTCTTGCATCTCTCCCTTTCTCCTTCCCTTCTTCCCCTTTTCATTTCTTCCTTTGACTTTTAAAGTCATCATCTCCAATACCACTATTTGGGCATTAAGAGAAAAAAAACTTTTCTTAAACACTGTTGGTCAGTTACATACCCTGAGCTAAATTGATACTGTTGTGTAACTATTCAGGTGGTAGCCCATGAGATTTCTCACAGCTGGACTGGAAATCTTATCACAAACAGGAACTGGGAACATTTTTGGTACAATATTTTTAATAATTTATATTTATTGAGTTGCAGTTACATAGTTGTTATCTTTTTTAATATATTATGCAACTGGCACAATTTTTCTTACCAATCATTGGATTACAATACTTCTATCAGTGGTAAGTTTTCAATTGGCAAATTAGCGATAAACATTGAACCAAGATTTATTGCTCTTTTAAGGTTTGCAAAAATAGTCTGTAAAATTTTGATTGTCAGTAGAGGTTTATATTTTACTTAGATCTTGAACCATTCCTTTAATGACTCTTTTATTTTGACCTGATATAAATATCCAGATTCTCCTTAGCAGTTTTGTGCTTTCCTGTAGGTACTTTTTGGGAGAAATATGACTCAATTCCTACACCCCCCCCTCCTCCCTTCTGTGTTAGTTATGGAAGGAGAACCTGTATTTTGATTGATCAGTCTAAGTGTGAAGCAAGTTTATTCCTGTTTGCCCAGTTTATTGATCAAAGGTAAACTTTTTTCGGAAACCTTGTTGTAGGTTAAATGAAGGATATACAGTCTTTCTTGAGCGTAAAATCCTGGGACGAAGGAAGGGAGAGAAGATGGTGGATTTTGCTTACATAGGTAAGCTTAGGGTGTAATTTAGTATTATCAACTGAGTTGCTAATGTGAATTGCCCATGGTAAAGAGCTTCAAAGCTGAGACATTTCAAGTGTCAGCCCTTGCCTTAGCTCTGATGAAGGGCTAACTCTCAAAGCACCAGCTTTGAAACTCTTTGCAGTGGCCAATTTTACATTTTTCAGTTGATAATTCTGAAAAAACTCACTAGTTTTTACTGATTCTAATCAATCCTCATGCTTTATGTTTTAATAATTTTTTTCCGATTTTGAAACTACCTTACTATTTTCTGGCCAATAGACAGTTAATTAACTTGCTCAATTAATTTAGAATTCAACTCCCAGAAGTGATTAACATCCATTATGTCTCCCCATATTATATCACAATTCTGTACATTTTCCAGCAAATAGGTAATGAGAGTACTCAAATTTATCTGTTGAAAGTTGTTATCCAGAGTTAACACCAAATTCTCATAACTAATTTACAAGGAAATGTGTAGCAGCTAGAGAGGAGAATTTAATAATCAGATCTTAGGAGTTAATGGGTCAAACATTCAACCTCCAAATTGTCACTGGCTGGGGTTTAAGTGTGTTCCTAAATATTTACTTTAAATTAATTTTGTATTGGGGATAAATTCTTGTTTCCTACTTTGGTCAACAGGAGGATGGAAAACCTTGAAAGATCAAGTAAGGTCTACTCTACACTCTTTTAATCTTTTCTACCCAACTAAGTTTTTTCTATTACAAAATCATTATTTGATTAGATATTTAGAGCAATTATACCTAAGGTTCCTTAGTACAAATCCATTATTGCATGCTTTTAGATCCTATAGAATTCTGTGTGATCCTACATGATCCTTAACAATCATAGAGGATCCTGTTTGTAGGATTTAATATATAGATTTAGCCAAGCCTAAAAGCAGAGCTCGCATTTTTTTTCCTGCATGTCTCAAGGGCACAATGCCTTGCCCCGGCCAGCACTAGAACCCAGGTTGTCCCACTTGGAGCTCAGTGCACTGACCACTGGACTACTGAACAAAGCCATGGTCTTGGCATGCCCGCAGTACAGTTGACCACGCATGTTAAAAGTAGCACCTTGTTTGGTCATACGTTCGTACAGCCATATGGTCGTACATCCAAATTTTTTCAGCTTGATGGGTTACTACTATTTTGTATAATTATGGGGCTATGCTTTGCGAGCTCTGCTATAATTAGGAATACATCTATAAAAATCACTGGACAATACAACTTTTGAGAACATTGTTAGTGGTAAAATGAAGCAATTTTTGTTGAACATTGCTGTTTTTGTTGTGGTTAACCCTTTTACTCTCAGATGAAATTTGTAATTCTCTTAACTGTCAACCATACAATTCTTATAATGTTAGTTCAGAGAATTTAGTATTGGATCAACTAATTATCCCCAAATATATAATTTTTTATTCTCATCACTTATCTGGTTGATATTGTATTGATACTGTAAGGAGAAATTCTGTCTTGGTCACTCATGGGAGTTAAAGAGTTAAGAGTGGCAATGGACAACTGATGACAACAAAAGGATGTGGGCAAGTCAGCAGGAAAAAGTGAAAGTAGTTGCAATACAAAAATTGGAGCCAATCCATTTTCAAACAGTTTTTAAAACTAGACACTGGGTGCACTGACCTCATTCATTTATTAAGACTAATTTGAAAAACTGTTTTCAGCTCAAGCAGTTCCCAGAGAACAGTCCTTTGACTAAGTTAGTGGTGGAACTGAAAGACACAGACCCTGATGATTCATTCTCTAGTGTGCCCTATGAAAAAGGGTCTTGCTTCTTGTACTACTTGGAAAGGATCCTTGGAGGACCTGGTTAGAACATGTGATGTAACGTACCTGTACACTAACAGTATGACAGCAATAACCCTTTTTTTGAATGAATGAATCTTTGAATGAGTGAGCACTCTGAATGTTAAGAAATTTTTAAAAAATGTCAAGTTTGGATTTTTTTTTTCATCAAATTTTGATGATGACAATTGACTACCATTGATGAGATTGATATTAACAATGATGATGATCATGACAATGATGATGGTGATGACTGCCAACCACAATTTTAGCCACAATGTCATCAATAATTATTACTATTTTTAATTTTTTATTTATAAGTTTGTTAGAATTGTCGGTGCAATGGCATCTCTCTGAGTTTTCTTTACGGCTAGTTAAATACCTACACCCTAGTGAAAAGGCTATGTGCAAAAAGCTTAGCTTAAATATTGGGTCATTTCCAAAAGTGCTTCAGAGTTGCAGATCATAATTAAATGAGTAGAACTGTTTTGTGATGATAGCTTCAGAAACTCTTTACAGTGGCCAAATTACAGTATCAGTTGTTAAACCAAATTATCTTGTTTTATTCATGAGCTACGTCTTGAAAAATAAATGCAAACCAAGGAAAAAAGGTTGCCTACCATCTTTGAATTAAAAAATGAAAGCAACATCCCTAAATGTGGTATCTTTGAAGCAACTTCAAATGAATGTAAAAAAATTAACATGAAGGGCCAACCTTTGTCTCCCTTTCCCACAAATGGCCCAAGACAGAGGTCTCTGACAGACTGTTGTTGATGGCCTATGCCCCAGGAAAAGTAATGGGCTAAGATAGAGATAGTCAGATAGATTTTCTGCAAGCTTTTCAATATCAACATAATATATTATTATGACATTATGCTATTTACCATATAATGTGATGTTTCAGAGGTGTTTGAACCATTTCTCAAGAAATACTTGGAACACTTTAAGTTCAAGACAGTCAATACAAAAGATTGGAAACATTTCTTGGAGGAATATTTTCATGACAAGGTAGAAGAGAACATTCAACTATCTTGTAGTACACACCTCTAGAACCCAGGATGGAGTGGGGTGGGGTACTTGCTAGAAGGAGGTTAATGGGAATGTTTAGCTGGATGTAGTCACATTTTCATGACTGCATTGAATATATTGGGATTGTATTGATTAGATTTGCAGTTGGAGAGTTCTTTTGTTTGTCCAAAAGTGACAAAGATGGGGTTTATAATACTGCCCAGCAATATTTGACACAAGCACCCCTCTCCCTCTCCCTCTCCCTGAGGCTCCAACAGAAAGTTAAAAAATTTCCAGAAAATGACTCCCGTTGCTCACTGAAGATTATCCTGGACTTTTTATTACTTATGAAACAATCAGGAGTACTGTGAGTAAGCCTTCCAGTCCTAGGACCAAACTATCAATTTTCCAAACTGTCCAATATATTTTTTATAATTTTAGAGCTGAGAATTGGTAGGCTGTTCTCTAGTCAATACATCTCCTTCTTCTTGTTACTTTCGTGCAAAAAATTGGCTCGAAATTGTAAAAAGTAATTCTTCTGTGGTCACCTCTGGGAGGGAAAGGGTCGATTCAGATGATGCTTTACCTGGTTTCCCTGCCTGTTTTCTTTCATGATGCGGTGCCCAAAACTATTGAAATAAACATCTTAAGCTTGTATGTTTTGTTCGCCCATTTCAGGTCATGTGATAATACTCTAGATGACTGTTTCTTTTAAATTTGTTCTCATTCACGTGCATGTGTGTGGACGATTTAAAAAAAGATGAAGTTGGGAATTCCATTGAGACCTGGAATGGGTAAAAAAACATGCAAGCTTAAGAGGTCTATTGCCATTCATCTGACCTCTATCTTAACAACCATTGTTTTAACCATTGCAGAAAGACATTCTGAAGCAGGTTGATTGGGAAGCTTGGCTCCATAAACCGGGATTGCCACCCGTTAATATGATCGACTGGTAGGTTCATTTGCCTTGACTTCACGTGCAACTGCTATACAAAGAGGCTGCAACTTTGATTAACCCTTTGACTCCCAGAAGTGATTAACAAGTAACTTCTCCCTATAATATCCATACATTTTCCAGCAAGCAGGTAATGAGAAAACTCAAACTTATCTGGTAGAAGTTTATATCTTGATCTAACACCCAATTCTTCCAACTAATTTACAAGGAATAAAAGGGGGTAAGTTTCTAAAGAAACTATGGTGCTACGTCGGTGGGAGAGTATAACAGGTAATGTAGTGTTAACAATTGAGTTTAAAACGTAAATTAGCCACCGTAAAAGGTAAAAAAGCTGACGTTTCGAGCGTTAGCCCTTCGTCAAAGCGATAGACGAAGGGCTAACACTCCAAACATCAGCTTTTTTATCCTTTACGGTGGCTAATTTACGTTTTCAACTCAGTTGTTAACACTAAATTACCTAATCTGCAAGGAGGTGTGAAGCAGCTAAAGGGGAGAATTGACATTCATATCTTGGGAGTTAAAGTGTTTAAATCAAACTCTTTAAACAGCAACCCAATCTCATCTCTGCTGGAGCTTTTTGTTATCCAGTAATGTTAACTTATAACTCTCTTGGCATCAGGTACGACACTACTTTGAGTGATCCCTGCACAAAATTGTGTGACAGATGGTTGGCGGTTAGTGATAGCTCTGAATATGTATTATCTTCTCTGAAAATAAACTTATGGATTATTAAGATTCTTATTTTTTTCTTCATTATATCCTTCATGAAATAATTTACAGCACAACTGTTCCCATTCCTGTAAACATATTTTGTGTAAATTATAGTCAAGACCAATTTTTAATTCAGTGTCTAAAGTAATTCGGGAATGCCGTTATTTTTCTTTACCTCATTATGTGATTGGTTCAGAAAACTCACGCCACTTGCTCAACCAATCAGATTTAATACTTAAACTAATCACGACTTGGTTACACGCGTTTTCCCGCGCTTTAGGCTGATGCGCGTTTTTGCTTCAAGTTCTCGTTGGCTCATCATAATTTTCCCTTGTTATGTTTGGCTGTTGTGATGATTTGGGATTTGGTTATACAATACTCAAACGAAAAGAGATACAAGATTCAATAGTAAAGTAACATATTTTGCAAGTGCTTTTATTCATTTTTTATTCATTATTTTGTTTTCCCAGGCCACTGAGTCTGAACTGGGTTCATTTTCTCCTGATGATATCAAAGATTTTTCACCGCCTCAAGTTGTGGAATTTTTGGCTCAACTAGTGGATAAGGTGAAGAAACACAAAACTAATTCACTATTCTTAATTCTACCTGACATACAATTACTTGTAAGTTAGTAAACCCTTTCACTCCTAAGATCTCTTTGGTAATTCTCCTTACTGTCTGCCATACAACTCTTGCGATGTAAGTACAGAGAATTTGGTAATGGATCAACTAGTAACCCCCTAATTGATATTTGTCTTTATTCTCATCACTTTTCTGCTTGATATTTGCCTCATGTTTATGGAGAGATTTACCAAACACGATAAAAGTTCACTCGCGTGCTTCACTGTACGAAAATTCCAATAAATGAAATATGTGCTATTGCAGAATAAGGGTGGGTACAAACGCACAAGCTGCAAGGGCTTGAATATATAAAGATTTACTTAATATATTTAATTTTAACAGACAACTGACAATCCCCCGTTGGCCCTATCGCATTTGAAGAAAATGGATGAATTGTACGATTTTACGTCGTCAAGAAACTCTGAGATCAAATTCAGGTGAGATGTTCATTTCTTACTAGAAGAGCAAGAGAGAGAAAAAAAAATTAGGCCTGAAATAATTGATGACTGTGTTGAAATTTTGTCCAAAAACTAGTGAAGTTGTTTAACTTTGTTTCTTTCATTTTTTTTAAGGTGGCTCCGTCTTTGTGTAAGAGGAGTGTGGCAAGATCGGTACCCACCGACAGTGACCTTCATCACCATCCAAGGGAGGATGAAGTATATCAGGCCCTTGTACAAGTAAGAAAAATGCCTGTTTTACGTTCCTAGTTTTTGGAACAGGATTTATTTGTTTTAAACGTTATTTTAATTACTTTGATATGTCAAAATGTGTCAACGTTTTGTTAGGTTTTTTCTTGTTTTCGTATTCAACTCAGTTCTCTTAATTTGCTCTCCAGGGAGTTATATGCAAAGGAAGAGTCGAAGGAGTTGGCTGTGACAACATTCCAGGAAAATCGTGCCTTTTATCACCCCATTGCTGCCGCCCAGCTTGCGAAGGATTTAGGCCTCGAGTAACAACAAGAGAATGAAAATTCCGATGCAGAAAACGTTCGACAACGCAGTCAAAGAATCAGGAAGGAAATAGATCTCCATTAATTCTAAGAAATAGAGCAATTTTCAATTTAGTGTCGAAAGTAATTCAGGATTCTAACAAATTAAAAGATAGAGCGTTGGGATTCACTAACGGAAACGAGAAAATTGATTAGAGAAATAATCGCACATCAATAAAGGGCAAGACATATTTTTATCGCAACGGATTAGCAATGCAACGGATTAAATCATTAACAGGTTCAATTACTTCGATTAAGAAAAAAATGCCCTCTCTCTCAACCAATCAGCGCTCAGTAATTTTGCCCTTTATTGATAAGAGAAATAATCGCACATCAAGACATACGCAGGTACAAATTCGTTTCGAAATAGAACAAAAGACGAAACTTAACACACAAGTTCAAATACGTTGAGTAGTACTTATAACGGATTTTGTTTTTTCGCTGCCATATTCCAGTCAACCTTACGCATAAAGTAAGTTTTTATGCAGGGTTTTTCCAACTCAGCTTTTTACTGAAAAGGAATGAAAAATCCTTTGAAGTGTAGTATTCGTTAGTGTCATATTCCGTCAGTAATTTTAAAGCAATTTCGATAACATCAACGTATTCTATTATTTTGAACACTAGAAACAGGAGAATCAAGACACAGGCAGAAAACTTTGAGATGCAATAAAGAGCATTACCATTAAATTCTTGTCAATGAATCGTTTATCAGAAAATCAGAAAGAAAAGTGACTTCCATTGGTGGTCGTTTCTTTCTATACTAAAACTGCTACGAGAATCGCAGCGCTCATACGATCAATCCTTGGTCAAAAACAGCTTCGTTTTAATATTTAAAAGAACACTTTCTCCTGATTCAAGGTTAATGTCTTTCTTCATTTGGTAGCCGCTCGCTGCAGTTTCTAACAAGGGCACCAGTCCTATACCAAGGCTTCCAGGGCCGAGCGGCCGTGCCTCCAAACGCGAACGTGATCTGGGTATGAGACAAGAAAAGCTCCTTTAGAGCAAAAAAATAAAAAAAAGAAAGTGAATTGAGGTGTGCTCGCCAACATCATCATCGTTATCGTTTTCGTTATTGTTACTCTTGGACAAAATTTCGACATGTATGGTGATGTAACTATCAGCAAATTTATTTTGGCTTAAATTTAAGCCTGAAAGGAGGCTTTTTCAAACGCGTATTTACTTAACTGGAAAGAACTGAATCAAAATAATTTACTCTTCTATGACCCTTTTTGGAAAGTCTTATACCCATCGCAATATTTCACTTACAATTTAAGAAATCGGCTCGTGTGCCTCAAATTCAAATGGGACGTTATCTCCAAGGAGTACAAAGGCAGCCCAGTACTTGATTTCACTAAACGCGTTGCATTTTCTCATATATTTCATGGCTGGGTTAAGAGCTTCACTTGCACTCTTTCCTTTGGTCAAATGTTTGTAGAAACTCTTCATGAACACTATAGTGGCCTCGTCATTAATCGTCCATAAGGTCACCAGAACATATTAAGTACTTACCCCCATGGACGCTCGCACTATACCGACCACACCCTCAGCTTTGATGATCTCTCTTCTACCACTGTGACAGCAGCTTAGTGCATTAAGCCTTGCTCGTATTTAAACACTCAGCATACCCTTCATTGTTAAAAGAAAGTCTTCCTCAGTTGGAATCTGGAATGTTTGCGTCGGGCCTGGAGCTAAGGAGTTGTCACCTGTTTCCTACTATGTCGAATGATTAAGAAGACATTTTTGGATTGTGGCCCAATGCGATTGGAGACAAAGTAGGCTTGATTCGCTTAAAAATTTGGTGTTCTTCATGCAAAACGCCATAGCATATAAACAAATCTGGCTCCATTCCACTTAATAACATTTAAAATCGTAAATTTCACTTGCTTTTGTAACCGCACAGTTTTCCTAAAATAAAAAATTTACATTCAGTCATGAAACCTGTTCAAGAATCTGCAGAGGCATGCGCAAGGCGAGCGTGAAATGCGAGTTAAGCGCAATCTTCCGTTCGCCTGAAAACGCAAAAAAATCACACCGGTTCAGCAGGCTACCCAAGAGAAATGTCTAAAATCGGAACTTTAAGTGTTGATCGATTGAGATAGGGCTGAGTCCGCCTTATAGAGGTCTCAGATTATCTTGGCAAGTTAATTATAAGAAAGTGATCATAAGATCACAAATACAACTATATTCACCGAATGACACACAGAATTTCGTTAAATCTTCACTCAGTCGAAAATGAAATTCTCTTTTCTTCATCCCTAAATATTGGCAATAAATTCTTCAACAGCCTCTTGAAAGTTCTAATAAGTGAAGTGCAGTAAGGATATATTAAATGGAGCTCAGAGTTTTAAATAATAGCCGTGGTTACCGTCGGTCCACCATCGCCTGTAATGAGGACCTCTGACTACCTTCTGTTAAGCCTGCGAGCAGGTTTTGTGTTTGGATTCGCCTTAAGGCATAGCTTCCCATTACACCATCGGCAGCCGCTTATGGAAAAGACATTTGAAACCCCAGCGCACAGAGCTGCGCTTTCATGTCAGTCTTGGTTACGTATAAATATCAAACTAACGAACGCTTATAAGCCAACTCAACTTTCGTGCGATATCGATGAAAACTTGCACATATAGTAGGACGCAATAACTGGCGCAAGTGAAATAGGTAACTTATATTTGATAATGCAGCGGGCCAAGTCACTAAATACGAGGTGAAGTTAGTTCTACTCTTAAATTTGAACTCTAGGCTTCAACGTTTTGTGACAAGACAAAAATGCGTTCAGAATTCTTTGATACAATTTAAGCTGGTTATCGCTGGAATTTCCTTAAAATTGCGTACGTGATCTTTAACTTCCGCAAGTATTTTATGAATTGTAATTTTCCGCAACATTTACAGTTAACACAGTATTAAAGAGGACAAACTTATTAGCCAGAGGACATTATCTTGACAAAACACAAAATTTCGAAGACTAAAACTCAAGGAGACGTAGAGTGGGTTTACGGAAAGGGTAGAGTATAGTGAGAGGTGAGCCGGAAAAGGCACAAATCTTGGGCGGAGGAAAAAAGTATGTCATCCCATAATCTGTGAAAAAGAATTACACATTCTTGCCTCGTAGATAAAAGTTACGTTAAAATGAACGAGTACCATCAGTGTCTACTATTTTTTTACGATCGGGGCACGATTATTGATTGCTGATTGGCGGAGACAGGAGTCATTTATACTGAAAATCCGAGAGCCCTTTCAGTGATTTTTTGGTAACTTTTGGAAGAAAAGATAAGTACTTTATCTCGAATCAGTGAGCGCGTGTTGTTTACAACGAGTCAGTTTCCCGTCTTTGAGGAGTTAATATTTGCGCATATTTGAAGGCCTCATTGAGGTCAACCGAATAGCCGTGTTCAGTGATGAAGAAAGTTTACCTTGAAAAAACAATTTCTTGTGACAACAATGGAATGACATTAACCGTTAGCCGTAAACTTGCCAAAATTGGAACCGTTAGCCGTAAAAGTAATCACCCCATGGAGACCCTCTTATTTCACAGAAACTCAAAAAAATAAATAAATAAATAAGTAAATAAATAATACAAAAAGCGGAAAGCAGTGGTATCGATAGAGGATTCTTCAATAACCTCTTTAGACCCAAGAAAGCAATATACACATAATTAAAATTTAAAAATCTTTGATTCAGTGCACTAACAGCAGTCTCCCGCACAAGTCCATCCATGGATCGAGTCACAAGAAAAAATCAGAATAACAAAATGTTGTGGCCAGGGCGCCGCGCAGAACTCTGAGAGTGAGCCTTCACTTAATTGAATACAGATCCCAGATAAGAAGTATTGGAAACGAAAACAAGAACAAATGAAGCAATAATTAAAATTTGCCAACTTTTATGATATGGTCCAGAGTAAAATGTCGAAACCAATCAATAAAAAGGGGAGAGAGTTCAGAAAGTAATTATTCATTGGGTAATCAATTCTGTTTACAAACGTTTCAGCGACACGAGAAAAATCGTTTTACTTTCGGGCCTAATATTCCTGGATGATATCGTTTATCAATTACTTTCAAATCAGAAAGAATATTCATTAGAAGAGGTTTCATTTATATTTTTAGAAAATTAACTGCTTTCATTCGTGTTTCCTTTTCTACCGTTGGATTTAGCATTGGGAATTATTACGGACTTGCGCCTGACGGCATTATTTATCGCCTGTGGGGGGAGGGGGAGGTCGGGCAGAGCATCTTTGTTGCATCAAGACAAAATTCACCGGATCCCTCAAAATGGACCCCGTAAGGCTCTGCAGTATTCTGATGATCCCCCCCCCCCCATTGCAGCCATTTTTCTGTTATCCCCCACTCCTTTCAATTCTGCAATAGTCCGCAGTGCAGGCGTCTTATTAGTGCGAGCTAATGTTATAAGCTCGCGATCGTTTATCCAACCAGCCATGTTTGATTTGCAATCAAAGTGGACGGTGGGGGAAGGGGGAGGGGGAAGGGAGAAACTAATCTTCACTTCCCCGCCCTCACCCCTCTCCCTACTTTTGACCTTCGAACGCCCCCTTGGTACAAATTTATTTCTCTCCCCAGCCTTCCGCTGTCATTAAAATTAAAGATGGCGGCCATAATTTTCGTTACGAAATTACTGAGCACTCGCTCGCCAAAATTACGCCTGCTCAGCAGGCTAATTCTGTAAGAGACAACTGATTCCCCCTAAAAGCCATGTGATCCCCAAAATTCTTCCGACCCCACTCATTCGATAATTCATTTCTGGTCGCTATAGGGAATGGAATTAGTGGATATGCGGTATGTTTTCTTTCCCTCTCTCTCTCAATCTCCTATTACGCCTTCTGTTTCCTTGTCCACCGCTCTCTCTTCCGCCGTTCCTCAGTTTTCAAATCCTTTTATTCCACATTCCAATATTCTTAAACATCCTCGTCTCAGTCACGTTCTACTTTTCTTCCCTTTTCTCGAACATCACGTGCGCCCTTTGTTTTTCCTTATCCGCTGCTCCCTCTTCCGCCGTTCCTCAGTTCCCAAACTCCTCCCTTCCTTGTTCCAATATTCTCAAACTTACCCGTCTTGTTCGCTTGATTTATCGAACGTTGGATCGGTTTTTTTCGGTTTTTGACTGATTTATCCCCGTAAGTCGATGCATTTTTGTGGTGAAATAATTTTTTCATTATTAATCTATTATTCCTTCCTATGAATAAAAGAGAGTTCCTTGCTTAGAAATTTTAGAAATGTCGATTGCAGTGAGTTTACGCTCCAAGGAAAATTTTATTGATTCTTGATAAAGCGGAATTCGAAGTAGTTTCCAGATCACGCAATCGATCAGACAGAGGCATGTTTTCATTTTACTTTCGATTACCTTAAATGGTTTTTTTAAATTGTGTTGGTTTTGAACTGTTTTGACTGAGCGCCATTCAAGGACATTCTAATAATTTCCTCAAGGCGAAGCCGGTTATGCAAGAAATCTAAAATTATTCACTGAGCAAAAAAATTCGAAACAAAAAATTGCTGGATTTTCCTGTGAACGGAAATAAGATCGTGATACGAAACCAAACGAATATTTAAACTTCCTGTGGATCTGTGACTGGTTGACGAGTAATTCTCTCTACTCATTTTTAAACATCTTGTGGTAAGTTGTTGTGAGAAGTTATTAATGGATCAAGGTGGTTTCTGACTGAGGAATCATGTTGTGTTCCTCTCGTCCGTCTGCTGGGCGATGTAGAGAGAATGAAAACATTGGTCACATGTAAAATGGAAGTGTAAGATAATTTTCCACGATGTGAATGAATAAAGATCAACAATTTTTCGATCCAAATCGCAGACTCTCAACCATTATGCTCTCTACGCTCAGGAAAACATATTTTTTGTTGTGCGTGACCGGAGAATTCTCGAGGGCCAGTGAGGGCGGTCACCGACGCAAAGCCTGAGTCCTTGCTCAAAATTATGCCCATATTAGGTAAAAATAAACGGAACGCTTCATACAGTATTCCCACATTGCACGTGCGAAAATTTCAATATTTTATGAAAATATGGCGAAATTTTGCGCGTCAGATCCGCATCATGAGCGATTTTATTCTTTAAAAGCGACAAATTTGGGCAAGTTTGCTTGTAAACATGCAAATATTTCACTTTTCCGCATGGATTCCTTGAATAAACATCATCAAGTGAGCGTCATCAGCGGGATGAACATGCTTATCAGCCTAGCCAATCAGAAGCTTGCACGAGTTTTGCCGTATATATAATCCTGTGAGGCTCCTGACGAGTTACTTTTCGACGGGAGTTGTGCTCGTAGTCAGTTGTAATCTCATCTTGTTCCGCACTTTTAAAGTTACCTTCTAGAAATGGCCGACGAGGACGTTGCTGCTTTGGTCGTGGACAATGGCTCTGGTATGTGCAAAGCTGGTTTTGCTGGAGATGATGCTCCCAGGGCTGTTTTCCCTTCCATCGTCGGTCGCCCAAGACATCAGGGTGTGATGGTTGGTATGGGACAGAAAGACTCCTATGTCGGCGATGAAGCCCAGAGTAAGCGAGGTATTCTTACCTTGAAATATCCAATCGAACACGGAATTGTTACAAACTGGGACGATATGGAAAAGGTAAGGTTTCCAAATTTATTTCGTGTAAAAAATTGACAAATTACTGATGGTTTTTGTTAAATTTTAGATCTGGCATCACACCTTCTACAACGAACTTAGGGTTGCCCCAGAGGAACACCCAGTTTTGTTGACCGAGGCTCCATTGAACCCCAAAGCCAACAGAGAGAAGATGACTCAGGTAATATTCGTTTGCGAAAAATGTAGAAATAATCACCGCATGAGGGAACATTGTAATGTAACTATTTACATTCGGCGTTTTCGAGCTCGGCCGGCAACTGCTCATTTTATTTGGTCTGCATAATTTTAGTGCTGAGTAAATGCGGCCGGAGTGAACAGAAATTTGTTTCTTTGACGACGTATGTTCACGTTCAGAATTTTGTGCGCAAGCTTAAAAATCATGTTTTCTGCAACGGTTTCAGAGCTATATGTTAATGAGATTGCATTTAAACGCTTGATCAATATTTCATCTGGGCTGTCTCTCGACCACGGAATTTGAAAGGTTCAAATTGGCTAACCTCTTACAGAGGAAGGCACGCGGAAAGTTGCCACATAACAGTAACAACTTGGCTACAGCGCCAGTCGAAAGCTAGTAGTATGCCGTAGAGACATAAAGAAGGCTAAATCTGCTTAAAATATCGTTCAAAATATGAAAATTTTTTTGGTTAATCGAGCAAATTATTTGTCCACCGGGACCTCTTAACAGGGAACGATGTGTTGCCTTATTTGGTCATGTTGTTTTGTGATTGGTCAGGTTGAAAATCACACCATTAGAAGTTCGAAAACGTGACGTGGGAGTATTGTTGGACTATCAGTACTCTGTAGGTTTTATTTCCTCGGAATATTTTGACTACGAACAGAACCTTCTATTCCAAACGATGATCATTTTGATCCAAAAATTGTGAACCTGCACCTAAAAATTGTTTTTATGTGAGCTGTAAAGAGCGTATCCTTTTTATTGCGATATTTGAGTAAATATTATTTTAAGAAAACAACAGTATTGTTTGACGTAAATTTGGATCTCTGCATACATGGGCTTAATTACCGGAAATTAGCACAGAACTGAAAGGAACATAAGTGTTCCTTTATCATCAAGAAGAATCTCGTATCATGTAAAATTTCGAGTTGATGTACTTCGAGCGGATGTGAAAAGACTTTTAGAATAACGTTTATATTATCGGAGCTCCCACTTTCAAGAAATGTTAAGTAAATTGCGGCCTCTCTTCCTTTTCAGATCATGTTTGAGACCTTCAATTCACCAGCCATGTATGTCGCCATCCAAGCTGTACTTTCGCTGTACGCTTCTGGTCGAACAACTGGCATTGTTTTTGACAGCGGCGATGGTGTAAGCCACACTGTACCCATCTATGAAGGATACGCTCTTCCCCACGCCATCCTTCGTCTTGACTTGGCTGGCAGGGACTTGACCGACTACTTGATGAAGATCTTGACAGAGCGTGGATATTCTTTCACCACAACCGCCGAGCGTGAAATTGTGCGTGACATCAAGGAAAAGCTCAACTATGTCGCCCTTGACTTCGAACAGGAAATGCAGACTGCTGCCTCAAGCTCTAGCTTGGAGAAGAGCTATGAACTTCCTGATGGACAGGTTATCACCATCGGAAACGAGAGATTCCGTGCTCCAGAGGCCATGTTCCAGCCATCCTTCCTTGGAATGGAATCTGCTGGTATCCATGAGACCACTTACAACTCGATCATGAAGTGTGATGTTGACATCCGTAAGGACTTGTACGCTAACACTGTGCTCTCTGGTGGCTCCACCATGTTCCCAGGAATTGCTGATAGAATGCAGAAAGAAATCACTGCCCTGGCTCCACCCACAATGAAAATCAAGATTATTGCTCCTCCCGAGCGAAAATACTCTGTATGGATTGGAGGATCAATCTTGGCCTCTCTGTCCACCTTCCAACAGATGTGGATCTCCAAGCAGGAATACGATGAATCTGGCCCCTCCATTGTTCACCGCAAATGCTTCTAAGCAAATGGCTTTACAACAGCTGATTATGTGGAAACATTTTCAGGATTACACTCGGAACTGACTTTGAGCCCGCTCTAAAGAGACTTGAAACGTTATTTTCAAGGAAACGCGTTTTGACTATTGTAATATGAATCATTAATAGTTTTATAAAAGATGTGAAAATAAACGTTGAAAATTAGCAGAAATATAACTTGTTGTGTTGGTTTTCCCTTGAGTCTGTTTGTCTGCGTTGTTGACAATTCTCGAAAATACTAAATTCGTGGTTTTCAGACCATGGAATCGGAAAGGCGTATATATTTAATCTTTGATTATCTGATATAACCTGTATAATATAAATATATTCTGTTCGAGTCAGTTGTAATCTGTTGTGACTAAACAATCTTTCGTACAAAAACGGAGATTGCGTGACCACCCCACTGTGGTCAAAGAACTGTCGGTACAAAGGAAAAGCTCATTCTGTATGTAACCACGCGCACCAGATTGACCGCGACTGTTCTACGCAGCCGTTGCGTGACAGCGAAGCAGAATCTCGCCTACATCTATTTTGGTCTTACTGTCATCCAGAGTTAGTAACACCTTGTCTCGAAGTTCCCAATCTGTATCCATAATCCACCGGGTTCGCTGCAAACCCATAGGGAGCCTTAAGGACACTGCCCTTGTACGAATTTCGCGAACCTTGTCTTTTATTTCTCAACCGGAACCGCTTTGGTCAACATTATCCGCGGAGTTGTCCTAAAAGACAAAAGATGAAGCTCTGCAAAATTACTGGTAGATTCTTTGAGTCATGCACAGCCAACGTCGAGCTAGCATTGCAATTTCTTCCAGTCCGCCTTCATTCCTGTTGCAAGGGGTGGTTTGAGTGTTGGATATTTTAATGTGTAACGCAATGTATGTACCTATTCATTTGTTCACTAAATCTGGAGAAATGTGCCTGAAAGAGAGAGTTCACAGACCAAAACCTTGTTGATCTTATGGTGGCTGGTGAATTCGAACCTTGTGCATTTTGGTAGGTTACAAAACTTTACTATACTTGAGCATAGGTTTTTTAATTTGATAGCGGAATTTAATTTTACCATTCGTATATCTTACTTTCACCAATTGTTTATGGTCAGATACTCGGGAAATGTTGAATTCTTCGAAGCGATGTATCAAGAGACATAGAAGATACAACGATCTATTTTCATCCATTCTCTGTCCCTGTCCCTCCCCCTGTTTCTCCGCCCCCCAATTTTTTCCCAAGCATCCCTTGAAAATTTAATTCCGCAATGTGAAGAGTAGATTTTTTTAAGTCGACACCTCAGGAAACGTTGTCTGAAGTGCCCAAGTCCGTGGGAGTGGGGGTTGAAGGTTGGAAAAGGATGGTGAATGAAGAGGATGAAACTTCTTTGCTGGATCTGAATGGAGAAGGTTCAAATGTGATATATTATTGTGAGGGTGGAACTAAACTCACCTGTGACAACCATGCTTTAAAATCCATTTCAAATACTACATTTTACTAAATGAATAATAAAAAAAACTAACGATCCTAGAGGAATGAGGTGGTGTAAGATTTTCCCTTGACCTCATGCACTGGTTCCATTTTAAGTCTGTCCCTGGAAAGGTTATCCCAAGATGTCAAAAAGTTTCCAGAGATGTTCCAGAAAGTTGTGAAGGTGTCTTAGAGAGATGACAGTAATATGTTTAGATTTTTGCTGCCCTTTCTTCCATTGCCAAAGCTTTTGGCTAAATGTGTGATCATCTGAATGGAATTTTGTTCCTCTTTAATTTATTCAAGTTGCTGTGACATTGTGCATTTTTCATAAATATGTTAACTAACCCTTCCACTCCCAACATCTCAGTAGTAATTCTCCTTACTGTCTGCTATACAAATTCTCATGATGTTAATTTGGAGAATTTGGTCTTGGATCAACTAATAATCCCCTAATTGATAATTTTCTATATTCTCATCATTTGTCTGCTTGATATTGTATCGATATTGTACAGAGAAATTCTGTCTTGGTCCCTTAAGAGAGCTAGGTAGTGGGTACACCAGGTAAACATTAAGTATTCTGTAAAAAAGAATGGTTTGTGTGTGAACACAAATAACGAGAGATGTGAATTAAGGGGTTGGCTGATCACATTTCACACCAGCAGTTCCACACTAACAGCAAATCTATTCTTCAATCAGGGAAACTGAGTGTTTCAGATGTCAGGAGGCAAGAACAAATCGCAGATGGAAAAAAATGTCTCAAGTACAAATTAAGTAAGAATAGGGAAATGTATTCCTCATTGATAACTTTTTTGTAAATTTGCATTTTTTGATAAAGGAGTATCACTGGAAACATTGAATAATTTTTGGTGCAAACAGGTATAGTTTACCAGGATTAACTTAAGCCAACTATCTTTACACATAATAGAAAGGAAGGAAACTGGATTTAACATCACCATGAGCCTAGATGTTGTTTCCTTTGAAAAAAATTTGCATGTGCTGTTTGCATGTGATATGTGCTCTTTGAATTATAAAGTTAACACATGTATCCCTTGCTAAAGTTTAAGAAACCTGTAAACAATGAGAACTGAATGAGTATCAAAAGAAAGAAAAAATATGTCACAATGTTGGAAACAAAACTCTTATCTCCCTTTAAAAATTTTGAAATGTTTTCCATTTTAAAACTTTTATCTCCTTTTAAATATGTTGAAATGTTTTCCTTTTTAAGGCTGCCATGAGAGAAGTTTTTTTCAGAAACAATTTCTTTGATATTTTTTGGTTAATAAATAATCAGGTCAACTCTACATCCCATGCCATTAGAGGAGGAACCATTTCTTGAGGTGAGAAGTTTGGCCTTGTGAAAATTGAAGTTATTGAATGATAGACATTCTCAGAAATTTGTGAACACTGTGAGTTTCATGTCAAAAGACACCATGCACTAAAAATGTTTCTTATTTGACGCACCAATTTTGACAAAATTAAAGCAAGCAAAATTTTCTTGTAACATGTTCACATAACCACTAACATTTAAAACAATATTGACACCTACTTAATTACCTTATTTTACCTGCAAGAAGTTATTTTTTTTGGTGACATTTGGTTTGTCACACATTCCTCTCAATAACATTTGCATTTCATTGCTATGTGAAATCAGAAGAGGTGCATAATTGCTGCTTGGATTGAAGAGAATAACAAACTGGAACCTAGATAGGAAAAACCAAAAACCGCATTGGATATTAAATCTGAAACCTTTTAGTAAGTTCTTTGATGAAATCTGCAAAGTGCAATGAACATCAAAACCAAAATAGTGAAGTTTTTTGGGCACAAAAGCCACAAATTCAATCTAAAAAATACCCAAAACCGTTAAAGAGAAAATCCCAATGCCCCCTCTCTTTGTGTACAGACTCAACTGTTTACCTTTACTGTTTTCATTGGGACTCCAGCAAAAAAACCAGCAAAAAAAGAGCTTTATTTTGATTATGATTGTGAGAACTGTTTTAATATTACATTAGATGATCCATCTGGCACCTAGAGGAAATTTCAAACATCAAATAGACTATCCCTATTTCCAGAATGTTATTTCTTTTAGTTTTAGTCATTTCCTATCCTAGCAGTATGCAGGAAGTTTGTCACTAAGCACCTAGTTAAACAGCCAAGATGCCACAAGCCTCCTTTATTCTCATGACATTGATGTTTGATTTAGGGGGCATATTGTAAGGAGAAATTAGATGCTTAATGGTCTGTCTTAGGTTTGCTTGATGGTGGACACCAGAGCTCTCAGACACACAATGATTCTTTTAAGAGCTGAGCATTGCCTCTTGATGGTTTATTGCTAAGGAAAATGTGATAAGCATCAGCATTATAAATCACTTGACTTGCATTTGCACAAGCAAGCAATTAACAACAAACAAGCTCCCATCCCTTAGGCTGGCTATGAATGAATTTTTACAGTCTCAGGAGTGACCAAAAACAAATTTCTCTCAGCAATATAAGGACACTTTTTAACATCCTTTTTTTTTTTTTTTTTTTTCAGGAATATTGTGTCTGATGCATTTATAGAGAGGGATAAAGGAAAGAAAGCCCAGTCAGGGAGTTCTGCCATGTCACTGCAAGCTTTGCTTGTGGTTTATCTCTACAAAAAGGTGAATGATGATTTTATTGTTGATATAATTTTCATATCCAGCTTATTACTTCAGTCTGTAACTAGGTGGCAATATAAAATTTCAAACTCATATGTGTGATGTTTTGGCACGACTTATGTCATGGATTATCAGTTCTTTGTGTTTTATCCACCAACTTTATTTTTACATGTTACATAAAAATTATGTTTTCAGTTTAATTTGAATCACAATATTTGAAATAAGTATGGTTGCAATAGTTGAATTCAACACTCGCATGCACAAATGTGCCACTTGGAATGTTGATCTATGTGAAAACAAAATTACAATATTATCCAGCTAATGCTTTGATGGATTCGTCATGGCTGTGTTAGTGTGTGGTCAATATTTTCACCATACTTGGATAGTTGATGATAAATTGTTTTTTATCTGGTTATTATGGATATTGGTTAAGCTTAGTTAGTTTTATTCTGTTGTTTCCAATAAGAGCATGTTGGAGTTTGTATTAAATAATATTTAGGGTAATCAGCAACAGTTTTTTTAAGGCTGTCAATCTTTCAACCCTATAACTCCCATGAATGACCAAGACAGCATTTCTCCTTACAACATCAATACAATATCAACCAGATAAGTGATGAGAATAAATAAAAATATTAATTGGGGGTTGATTATTTGATCCAATACCAAATTCTCAAAACTAACATCACAAGAACTGTATAACAGACAGTAAATAAAAGAGAATTGCCAATGAGATCTTGGGAGTTAAAGGGTTAACTTCAAAGATCTGATTGTTAATTCTCCTCTCTAGCATCTAAAAATTTTCTGGTAAATGAGTTACTAGAATTTGATGTTAGATAACATAAAACTTCTAGCTGATACATTTCATCGCTATCTAACTGCGCAAAATAGAGTACAAATAATGTGCAAAGAGAGTTCAAATATCCTGCAATATTGTACGGTTATTTGGACAGGTGGCTATATTGTACTGTAAAAAAAACCTGTTTAACCAGTCGGCTATGCATGCTATGCTTCTCTATCTGCTTTGCTTTTCTTGCCTTAAGAGAAATTTAATTAGTTTAGTATCCAATTAAAATTTAAATTATT